TACTTGAAATGTTTTGGAACTAGGGGTAATAGTTGCGTTATGGTGAATGTACTGAATGTCGCTACTGTTCACCTTAAAGTGGTTTAGTTTATGTTATGTGAATTCTACCTCAACAAAATTTTAAAATAAAAAAAGAATAAAGTGTCAATAAGTTACAATACGAATGAAAATTAAAAACCTCACTAAGTAAAAGTTAGACTGCAAAGACCACAAATTCTATGACTCCACTGATACGTCCAGAATAGACAGATCCATAAAACACAGAAAGCAAATTAGTGGTTGCCAGGGATTGGGATGAGAAGGGAATTGACAGTGACTACTAATGAAAAGGAATTTATATGGTGGCGATGAAGAAAATGTTCTAAATTATATAGTACGTATGGGTGCAAAACTATAAATACACTAAAAAAAAAAAAAACAACCACTGAACTTTACACTTAAAGTGGGTGAATTTTATGACGTGTGAATTACATCTCACTTAATGATTTTCTGCTCTGTGCTTGACCCCCCCCCACCCCCGAAGTCCAAAGGAGAGAAGCTCAAGAAGTCTGGCCTCGCCCCTCCCTCAGGGATCCTGGGGCCGGGGCTGGCCTTTCTGGGACCACATTGATGATGGTGTGCGCTGTTAATTTAACTCTTGAACCACCACAGGTTCTTGTCCCAAGAAGCTGTAAAAAGGAATTCGCAGACTTTTTAGATAAGTAAGCGGAGAGAAGCAACTTTTATTCAAGAAAGTAAGAAAAAGGGCCTCCCTGGGGGCACAAGGGATTAAACACAGCACTATGATGCAATCCACAGCCTCTGCAGCACAAGTTCCATGCCTGGCCAGCCAGGGAGCTACCCACATGGCGCAGTAGACCGCTCCTGGCTTGTCTGCTTCTCCCCTCAGCAGTGTGTTTTGGTCGGTGGGGCTGCCTGTTCTGCTCCCTGCTCTGTCTCTGGTGAATCCTCTCTCCCTCTCTCTCTCACACGCGCGCGCGCGCACACACACACACACACACACCCCTCTGGCCTGTACCCCAGTTCTTGTATGCGTAAATAAATAAATGTTTTTTTTAAAAAAAGTAAGAAAAAGTTTACTTAGAGGACAACGAACAAAAGCAAAGACTCCAAAGCAGCATTGCCAAGGAGGGGCAAAAAACTCTGTTATGGGCCTGTGTCTAGGGGATACCTGAACCCTTTTTTTCTCTATTCTGAAATCTCATCACCCTATTTTGTGATTGGCTCTTCCTTCTAGCGGCTGTACTCCTCCGGGCAGATGTGCCCATTTCCCCAGCCCTTATCTTAGAGTGTCTTTTTTTACCTCCCCTGTCCAAGATCTCGTAAAATTTACGGTCCCAATTAGCCTCAGATTTTAGCCTTAAAATTTACTGCCCTCATTAGCCCTCCTGAATTTCTCTGCTGTTATCTCAGAGGCCTCTTTTAACTCTCCCGAAGCCCCTGCCCGCGCTGTCCCCGAAGCTGCCTCATTAACCCCACCGTGCCCCGGGGCTCCGCGGGCGAGGGCCTGGCCCCCCCCTGCAGGCTGCAACGCCCCGCGCGGGTTGGTCCCGCCTGCATGGGCGCCCCGGCCCTGCCCCCGGGGGCCGGACCTTCGCGAAGGCGCCGCGCCCCGCCCGGCCCCCGCCGGGGGTGTGTGGGGGGGGGCGCGGGTGTGCGGCCCCCGCTGCGCCGCCCCTCGTCACCCCGTGGGCTCCCGCGGTGCCCGCGGCCCGCTGCTTTCTGCCCCACTGCACCAGGCACCCCCCGGGGGGCGCTCGACCCCCCCAAAGGAGCCTCTCCCAGAGGAGCCTCTCCCCTGCGCCTCTCTCCCTCCCCCAGACACACAAACAGCCTCAAATAACATCTATTGAAGGAATGTGCGTGGAGTGCTCCCATAAAACGACTTGTGGACACCGAAATTTGCGTGTCCACAGTCATGAGATGTTCTTCTGGGTTTTTTCAACCACGTGAAGATATGAAAACCATTCTTAGCCAGCTTGCTATAAAAACAAACACCCAGACCGCGTGGAGGGACTGCTGCCCCAAGGCCACCCTACTTCATGGTTCCTGTATTTGCCAAGGACAGGGGACCTGAATACCGGGGGAATCCACAGACCAAGCCGTGATTTGAGGTCCGGCTGAGACAATTCTCTGGTTCCACCACCTCCTGCTCCAAGGCCAAACCACCCAAGTGGCTTTCTTCCAGTCTCTGAGAAGGAATTCAGCTCCTGGGTGCCAACCCATCACATCTTTGCAAATTCTCTCTCAGTTCCTCTGAATTTTATTTAAGTGGATTTTAAATTTTATTTATTGATTTATTGATTTTGCATGAAGAACTGGGATGTAGGCCAGAGGTAGGGGGGTGGGAGTGGGGTGTGTGTGTGAGAGGATTCACCAGAGACAGAGTGGGGAGCAGAACGGGCAGATCTACTGAAATACACTGCTGAGGGGAGCAGCAGGTGAGACAGGAGAGGTCTGCTGCACCATGTGGGTATCTCCCTGGACAGCCGGGAATTGATCTGGCGCTTCAGAGGCTTCGGACAGCTTCACAGTGCTGCACTCAGACCGCTGCGCCACTGGGGAGGCCCCTAGGTGGATTTTTTAAAAGCTGAATTTTGAAAACTAAATTCTTTGAAGATGTATTTTCTTTCTTCTTAATTGTAGTAAATGGAAGCAATTCTTTTCCATCAAAAAGTCTTAATTTCTACCACTGGCAAGAGCCTCTGTGTCAAAGCTGCTTCATGGAACAGAGGCTCCCCTGGAGGACGCACCTCCCCTGCCACCTGTTGAACAGAATCCCACCTCCTGGCTGTCCTTGCTAACGTGCACTCAAGCACAGGTATAGCGATGCTCTGTAGACAGTATGTGGCTCACATGTAATGCTAAACCTCCTAGCCGCCACATATACAAAAGTAAAAATGGGGCTTCCCTGGTGGTGCAAGGGGTTAAGACGCAACCTATGAAGCTGTCCTCAGCCTCTGCAGCACAAGTTTGATCCCCCAGCCGGCCAGCAAGCTACCCATGTGGCGCAGCAGACCTCTCCTGGCTCACCCGCTGCGCTGCTCAGCTGTATGCTTCGGTCAATCTGCCTGTTCTGCTCCCCATTCTGTCTCTGGTGAATCCTCTTACCACCACCACCCCCACCTGTGGCCTGTGCCCCAGTTCTTGTATGCATAAATAAATAAATCTTTTTTAAAAAAGGAAAAGTGAACAAGTGAAAAGTAAAGTGTATTTTAACATATTTTATTTAACCCAATATACCCAAAATGGTTTTATATTGCTTACATGTTGAAATGCTAACAAGGGGATATTTAAACTTTGGGCAGGGGGTACTAAGTCTTTGCAACTTGGTGTGGATTTATATTTACAGTGCCTCTTGCTTCAGACTAGCCAGCGTGGCTCGAGGCTGCTCTAATGGACAGTGCAGATTTGGATCAAATGAAACAGCCAGACTGTAGGGGCGGGAACTTGGTCTGGTTACATTGTGAAATGGCTTGGCCTGACTGTGGGTGCTCACCTGCGCTTACAAGGGACTTATAATGAGACTCAACTGCAGGCACACACAAAAATGCTAATAAAAGGTTTATTTATGAAAAAGGGGAAAATGAAGAAAGGAATAACTCAGCAAGAAAGAGAGAGAGAGAAATTGGTGAATGTGTCCTACCAGTTCCACTGAGCTGGACCCCTAACAGCACGCTGAAAGATGGCGAAAAACCCTACATGTTCTGTACCAAGCCTGGCTGCTTAGCTCCACAATCCTCGCTTCTGTGGGATGACATTATGGGTTCTGTAGTCCTTGGTGTCTTGGCTCTCCTTGGTCTGGGGTGGGGGTCGCGTCCATAAAACCCATTTGCAGAGTTTGTTCAGGACATCCTTTCCCCCCAACAGTCTGTGAGTCCGAAAGGGGGAGGTGGCTGTTCAGCTCACAGTTCTGGGAAATCAGGGCAAGTTTAGGTTGTAAGAAGGCAGTGGCAGGAGGTGCCCCCTCCAGCCAGGTGAGGCACCCATGCCCTTGATGGAGGATAAGGATTGAAAAGTTGGAAAGGAGGTGCCACAAGACCAGAAACCTGGCTCACACAATGCCAGGAGCTGGAGGTGGGGATAGAAGGGATTAACATAACAACATATAGGAACTGAAACATAACATATAGGAACTGAAAATTGCAGGCACCAAGGCACAGACTCAAGCATAGCATCAGGGTGCAGTTAGAGAGTCATGGGGTGCAGACCAGGGAGGTAGAGATATGGAGAGGGAGGGCCACTGTAGAATCTCTGGTCTCTTTCAAATTGTACAGTTATCCAAAATCAACAACCAATAAGCCACTCCACAAAGGAATGAGCCTCTCCCAAAGAGAAAACTGTATCTGCAGTCTCTGCAGTGGCATGGGCAGCAGTCTGCCTGTACAGGCCAGAGGTGTGCCTGTGCAGAAGCTCCTCACCACCAACTCTCTCCCTCCGCAGGGCAGCAGCCTCCTGCCTGCCGGTGACCAGGGCCTGCAGGGGCTTCTCTGCACTGACTTCCCTCAGCGGAGGCAGCTCTCCTCAAGGCGGCCTGCCGTGACCATGCAGGCCTCTCTCAGCAAACCTGTTCCTTTCAGGGCAGCTCTTTCTGCCCGCTTGTGTCTGTGCAAGTGTCCCTTTCCTTCTCTCCCTTTTCGTAATCAATCTGCCCTTCTGGATAACTAACATCTCTGTCTCATGGAGAAACTTGCCTGGGAAACTCGCCAGTGCTGCTGAAAGGGAAACTGGTGAAGCTTTTCCCAGAGTGAACCCAAGGACCCCACTCTTCCAACCCAACATCTCCAAAATGACTTCACCCCCACCCATACTGCACCTGTGGCCTCTTCCCCAGCTGGATCAGAGAAGAGCAGAACAGGCCAATTTCCTCACTGTTGGGGGGTGGGGTGGGGGGTGGGGGGGGAGGGGAGGTGTGCCTCCACCAGCCTGTGGTGCTGCTGCAGTGGGTTTGCTGCAGGAGGGTTGCCCATGGGTGTGTCCCTGACCTCTCATGGAGGTCAAGGCCTTGGAAGATGGGGGGAAAATCCTTGGCAAAGTAGAAAATGTTTGGACCTACAGCTTAAAACAAGAGAGGCCTCGTTCTGGGAGAAGCAGTCTCATCATTTCAAGCTTTTAGATGATACACTTTTATTTCTTTTTTAAAGATTCATTTATTTATGCATAGAAGAACTGGGGTACAGGCCAGAGGTGTGGGAGGGTGAGAGGATTCACTAGAGACAGACAGTGGAGAACAGAACAGGTGGATCCACTGAAATACACTGCTGAGGGGAGCAGCGGGCGAGACAGGAGAGGTCTGCTGTGCCATGTGGGTAGCTCCCTGGCCGGGGATCAAACTCATGCTGCAGAGGCCGCCAATAGCTTCATAGTGTTGAAACTTAACCCCATGTGCTACCACGGAGGCCCGAGATGATGTTTTTTGAGGCCTGATCCAGGGCTAAGAGGGGGCCTTTTTCCCTTCGGTTCCCCTCCCTCCTGCCACCATGAAACACATACACTCTGAGAGGCTTCTATGAAACTCTCCCAGAACCTGAGAGGCCCTGACCTGGGTTGTACTTTTGGGAAGCTATAAGATCTGGGTGATCTGAGTTAGGGGGGCTGAGAGGCCCTGCCCTTCCCTCACTGACTGGCTCACAGAGAAAACTACGAGGGAAGAGGGAAGTTGAGAGCACCCTTTTCCCCAAAATCAAACCTTGCTTATTGCCTGGCTGAGACGCTATCCACACCTGAGTCTGTGGAGACGCTTGGCTGGCCATGGGGCCGCGTCCTGTGCCTCGGCTACCCAGACAGAGAGGTGGGGGCCAAGCCCTCGGGGGTGAGACAGGGGTGGACGCACAGGTACCCGCCAGTCACCAGGGTCGCTTCAAGGACCCTCTGGGTCACCTGAGTGGAAAGACACTGAGACCCAGACAGCAGAGACCCACTGGGTCAGGCAGGAGTGAGTGCCAGCAGCTCTATGCCAGGAAAAAATGTCAGCAGGCAAAGCAGTTCCACAGACAGGGAAGACCAGCACTGCAGGTCAGAAGACAGAGCCACACCAGCTCTGGACCCATTTATTTACAAAATAATGATTACAATCTGGTATAGAAAAGACCCCGACTTCTGCTGTACCCCTGTAAATAACCCCACCCCACGGAGTCCCTCCCACTAATGCCTTGGCTGCGGAAGACTCTCAGATGCGCAGGTCCCCGGCCAGGAGGGCGCCGTATCGGGCAGGGGTGAGGGGCAGGTAGGCAGCGCCCGCCTGGTCCAGAACGTAGAGCGGGTCCGACAGTGCGCCTGGGTCAAAGCCCTCCTTTGCCATCCGAACCTTCTGCTGCTTGAAAGTCTCTGTGGTGGCCAGAGACTCCTGGGGAGAAGGGCAGGAGTGGGTGGAAAAGGAAATTTTGCTAAGGGGCAGGTCTGGGGACAGGGGTTTTGGTCAGGGTTGAGGGGCGGGGGCGACAGGGAAGAGAAGGAGCCAGGAGGAGGGGTGCAGCAACGACTGGGTGACCAGCGGTCTGGGCAGGAACTGCTTTCTTTCTTTTCACATGCATGATGTGGGGGTCCCCTTTGTGGGAGCCAGGAACTGCTGAGATATCGGGGGGCGAGGGGCGGATTACCTGGAGCCTCAGGAATCGAGGCCGGGCATAAGGCGGCAAGTTCTCACAGACGTGGGCGAAGAGCTGCACGAGGTCCAGGGAGTGGGGGGGCCGCAGAACCAGGGCTGCCATTCCAGCCCGACCTTCATGCCCTGATGGGTGTGGGGGGCAGGGTCAACCCGGGCAGACCACTGCTGGGCCTTGTGTCCCCCGAGCCCAAGTATTAAGCTCAGGGTGGCGGGCTGGTGCCTCCCCACCTCCCGTGCCCGGGCACCTGGCACAGCGACTCCGTAGACGTTCACCTCCTGGAGGAAATCCAGGGCCTCCAAGACCTCCGCCACCTCCGTGGTGGCCACGTTCTCCCCCTTCCACCTGCCAGAGAGCAGGGACGGGAAACTAGGGGGCAGGGGCCAGAGCCTTTTGAACTTGGTGGGGAGAGGGGTCAGGGAGCCCGGGGCGGGTCCCAGGGAAGCGGTGTTAGGTGGCAGGAGAACCAGCCAGCGCGGACGGGGCGCGCGGAAGGCGAGATGTCTGGGGTGGGCACCTGAAGGTGTCTCCGGTCCGGTCATGGAAGCGAAGGAAGCCGTGGGTGTCGCAGACCAGCAGGTCCCCCGTGTTGAAGAACAGGTCCCCGGGCCGGAACACGTCCTTCAGCAGCTTCCCGCGGGCCAGCTCTGCGCCCCCCGCGTAGCCCAGGAACGGGGACTGCGGGCTCACTGGGGCCACCATCAACCCGGGCTCACCTGACAGAGTCGCCGGGTCAGGCTCCTGCCCACCCCGAGCCCCCATCCTCCCTGGGGCTTTGCCATTCCAGCCCCCCCACCACCCTGGCCTAAGCACGGACCTGCAGGCGCGGCCACACAGTGCCCCTGGGTGTCCCGAATCGGCTCCCCTGTGGTGACATCATAGCGAATCAAAGAGAAGGGGAAGACATGCTGGGGGAAGGGAGACCCGGCCCTGGGTCATTTCAGTTGCACAAGGTCCTGCCCCACCAGCCCCCTGTTTTTCCAGGGGGTCTCCTTCCCGCCCACCGCCTCACCTTGTAAAGCCAGGAAGCCCGGCCCACGGCACCCCGCTGTCCTGTGTAGTTGAAAGTGGCCACGTTGCCCTCCGTCAGCCCATACGTCTCCAGCACCTGCAGCGGCCCAAAGCGCTGCACGAACCGCTCCCAGGTGTCGGGGCGCAGCCCACTGCCCACGGCCAGGCGGACCTTATGTGCCCGTTCTGCCTTGTTCTGGTGGGGGGTGGGCAGAGCTTCAACACCAAGAAGTCCACTCCCAAGGCCAAATCCTTTTCCCCTCTCCCCAGAAGCCCCTTCCACGGCCACTTCCTTTGGCGGCATGGGGGGGGGCGCCCCGCCATCCCAGGCTCCTCCCCTACCCTGACCTTTTCTCTTCTCTGCTTCCTCTCCCTCCAACGCCCAGACAAGCATCCCCGCCTGGTCTCCCACCCACGGCCCATCTCCGCGCCCCAGGACCTGCGCCCGCGCACCGGAGGCTGGTTGACGAGGTATCGGCATAGCTCCCCGATGTACTGGAACACCGTCACCTCGTGCTGCTGGCAGTCCTCCCAGAACTGACCAGCTGAGAACTTGGACTTCAGCACCACTGTGGCCCCTGCCAGAGCAGGGAGGGGAGGAAGGAGGTGAGGTCCTTCCGCGACACTAGCCCTCACAGCAGTGCCGTCCCTGGGACTGCCCCACACCGTGAGCAGGCCAAGGTGGCCCCTCATTTTCCCACCCAGGGCTGGGAAAAGCTAATGGCCCTGGCCCCCTTCCTCTGCAGTCTCTGCCCAAAGGACTCCGGAAGCACCCCCAGCTAAGCACACCACCTAGTAAATGCTTGTGGGAATGACATTGCTGGGGGCCTGAATGGAGGTACTGACCAATACCCAGGCAGCCCACAATGCCCAACAGGGAGCCAGACATGTGGTAGAGAGGAAGGGCCAGGTAGATGACATCCTCTTGGTGGGCACCACACAGCTGGTAGAATGCTTGGCACTGCAGGATCTTTAGGTGACTGATCCTCGCAGCCTTGGGGAGGCCTGTGGGGTTGTAGGGGGGACAGCAGGGAAGGGTGTGAGCTCCCAGCCCTGCCTCCCTTGCCCCTGCTGGGCTTCCCACAAAAAGATGCAGAAGCAAGACTGAAGCTGAGCAGGGAGCGAGGTTGCCAGGAAACGCGGGAAGTTTGGGAAAGATGGAGAAATGGAGAAGTTAGGAGGGCTGGTGAGCGGTGCCTGCTGGGACCAGCAGTCTTTCTGGGGTGGTCCGGGAGCCGAGGTCACAGCTCCTGTTCCCTGGTCCCTGCCTTACGCTGCCTCAGTTTCTGGCTGCTGCGTCCAGCCCTCACCTGTGGTGCCAGAAGTGAAGATGTACAGACACGTGTCCGTCATGCTCTGCGGGGCGGACAGGTACCCTGGTACGGGCCCATCCTCTTCCGCCAAAGCTTCCGCCAGCAAATCGCCGATTCCAGCAGGATGGGTTCCAGGGCCTGCAGCCCACAGGTGAAGCCCCATGGCTCTCAGAGCCGGCAGGTCAGGCTCCAGAGACTCCAGAAACTCTGGATGGGGTGGGAAAGCACAGCTCGGCGGCTCTACCGCTACCCGGACGCCGTCCTCGCCCCTCAGCCCGTCAGTGCACTCCGCCCTCCACCCGCGCTGCTCCGGGCGAGGGGAGAGGGCTTGGGCGTCCCATCACTGCTGGGGGCCTGGAGCCCAACTCTGAGAATCCCCAGGGGAACCAAACACCCCCGATCTAGCTCTTCGCAAGCCCAGAGACTCACGTCCCCTCCGGGCTCGGAACCGGCGAGGGTCAGTCCGCCCTCGGCGCCCGGCCCCTTCTCGCCCCCGCAGACACGCCCCTTTCCGTGCGCCCCGGCCTTACCTGGCGCGAGCACGAGCGCGCGCGCGCCGCAGCTGCGGAGGCAGTGCAGCAGGGGCCCCCGGCGCAGGGCGGTGGGCACGAAGGCCGTGCGCAGCCCGGCCTTGGCCAGCCCGAACCAGAGCCACAGGAACTCGGGGCTGGCGGGGAGGAGCAGTGCCACGGTGGCCCCCGGTGCCAGAGGGGCCGCGGCTTCTCCAGCTCCGGCCGCACCATGTCCTTCCCGCTCGGCCCGCGCCTCGCCGCCTCCGGCCGCCGGGCGCCCATCGCGGCGCGCCGCCCGCTCGCCCTCCTCGCCGCTCGCCTCGACGCCGCGGGGCCCCGCGTCCCAGCCCCGCGCGCGCAGGAAGGCGCGCGCCGCCCGGTTGCTCTGGCGCTCCGCCTCCGCGTAGCTGAAGCGCCGCGCGCCGTGGACGAGGAAGGTGTGCGCCGGCCGCTGCTGCGCCAACTGCGCGAGGCGCCAGGCCAGGCTGCAGCCCCCCTCGGGACCTTCCGGGTCGGCGGCGGCCGCGGCCAGGGCGCGCGCCCGAAGGGCCTGTTTGCAGCGTAGTGCGCGCACGGCGAAGGCCAAGTCCGCGGCGAGCCAGCGCAGCTGCGGCCAGAGGGGCAGCCTGAGCAGCAGCAGCGGGAGCAGCAGCAGCAGGGGCAGCAGCAGGAGGGCGGCCATGGTGCCCTCTTTCTTGCCTCGGTCCCGTCTGGCCCCAGCCGCTCACAGCCAGCCCCGATACTTCCGAAAAAGTGGGGCCGCTCGCTCTTGCTCTTAGACCTCTCCTTTCCGGGAACGCGCGTGCGCCGGCACACGCCCCTTCCCACCCAGCCGGCCCCCCCCCCCCCCGCCCCGTTCCCCACGGGCGGAGAGAAGCGGCCCTGGAGGAGTGCGTGAGGGGGGCGGCCTCGCACTCCCGGCCCTTCCCAAAGCTATGCTCCGCCCTAGGCGCGCTCCCTCCTGGTCTCCTCGCTGCCAGCACCCTACCAGGGGCAATCCCCAATCCCGAGGTTAAGTCCCCTATTAGGTCCTTTCTCCTCAAGGGCTGTTCAGACATGTGGCTGGACTTTAGAGTCCCAGAGCCAGGGCGCCTGGATCAGCCCATCTTTTCCTCCTATGTCCCATTTTCACCGTGATGGAAAGCTGCCACTGCTCTCGCCCAAGACTGAAGAATTGGCCCCTTGCCTATAAGGGTGCCGGTGCTGCAAGTCCCGGCAGGAGACTCAGACCCGTGTCCTCTCCAGTTGCCAGCTGCAGCAGCAACCCCCAGGGCATGGGTGGGGACCCGCGTTAAGTAGGGGAAAGGTGGAGGCCACATTTCTGGAGGGGCCAAGGCGGATGCCCCTCCCTTTGGGCAAGGGTACAATAACTGGCCAGCCAGCAAATGCTTTCCATTCTGGTTTTAATTGGGGCAGAGGAAACTGGGGAAGGAGAAAGGAAGGAAAAAGAAGAGCCTCTGGTGGTTTAGACTTTGAAAATGAGGGGCAGCAGCTTTGATGGAGGGGAAGACCTTGAGTTGATCAAAGACAAATTTGCAGGCTGAATAGGAGCTGTCTGCAGTCAACCCAAGTGTCTCCTCTCAGCAGGCCGCCAGTTGCCCTGGACAGCGGGGAACAAAAGCAGAGCCAAGGAGCTCTCCTGCTGGGACACCGATGGGCAGGTGGCAGGCTGTGGAAGGAAGAATTTCCTTTTCCTGGTGTTTGAACACCCCACCAGGCACATTTCTGTCCACAATCTGGCCAGGTGGCCCTCTCGTAGTTGCTAAGCATGCAGACTTGGCATAGACAAATGTTAGCTTTTGGAAGCCTCTAGCTTCCAGAGGAGAGACGGGTGAAGACTGACCCCAACCTATAGCAGATGGCACAGGCATCATTTCTGCTCGGAAAGGTCAGCGCCTGCCTGCACCCCAGCAGTGGCATGAAGGGGCACGGCACAGCCAAGCCTCTCCTATACTAGGCAAGAAATGGGGCAGAAAAGGGAAGTTGTTCAAGTCACGAGGAGGGGTGCCAATTCAATTGCGACTACCTGGGCATGCATAGGGTAAGTAGGGGCAGCAACTCTGGCATAAGAGAGGTTGTGGCTTCTTTTATTCTCATTTAAAAACAACTTTTAAAATTCCATTATCTCTGCCAAAAAAAGCGCAACAAAACCAAGGAAATGGAAACATTTGACAGTTCTGTGGCACATGTGACCTGGACTCCCCGGGGCTCTAGCCCAGCTTGAGGTGCCAACATCAGGCCAACACAAGCCTCCAGGGCACAGCAGTTTCCTTCCTGAACACTTGCGGCAGCCGGACCACGCACGCAACAGATGAAATACCCACTTTGTGGTGGTGTGTGGAGAGCGCCTGTAAAATGTCTGGAGTAAATCAAGGCCTGGAGGGGGTGGGGCGGGTGGCACACTGTCTTTACTTTCACCCTCATCTCTGGCCAGCTGCCCTTCTCTGTGGAAAGAGCTCTTTGGGTGGCTGGGGGAGTGGCGGGGCCGGTGGGCTCCCAGCAGTCCTGGCACCCGGGTTGGGCCCTACGCAGCCCTCATGGAGCCCTCGGCCCCAGCGGGAAGCCGGAGCCGGCAGGAGCAGCAGTGTGACGGCTGGAGTCCCCAGAGCCAGGGAGGAGGGCTGGCCGCACGGCAGCTTTTCAGGCTGGCTGGAGAAGGCAGCTCATCCTTCCCACAGGCTTTGGGAAGGGGAGAGGATGCTTCCTCTATCTCCCAGCCCATCAACCTTTCATTCACCAAGGAGGGGGGCAGTCCAACTGGGAATAGGGTGGGGAACATGGGGCCTCAGTCACTGTCAGATCCCACGGCAGAGGATCCCTTCCGTTTCCGCTTGGTGGGCTTCGGTTTTGTGTCTTCCTCCTCCTAGAAGAGATTGAGGGGCTCGCTCACTTGCGCAGCTACCGGGCCCACCTCCACCTGCCCCTGCACCCCCACTCCTCCTCCTGTACACTGGCTGGGGGCTGACCGAGGCACTGCTGGAGCCGGACTCTTCCTCGGCATTGGGGGGCTGAGTGGCGTTCTTTCGACTCCGGGGGCTGGACAGAGCTGCTTTTCGACGGCTCTTGGGTGGCTTCGTGGAAGAGTCCTCATATTCCTCGGCCAGGGAGAAGAGGTCGCTGAACCTTGGGGACAGGAGAGTGCGATGAGCTCTCAGATGGCACCTCCCTGCCCCACGGTCACCCACCCGTCCTCTTCTCTGCCCTCACGCCTAGGTCGCCACTTCTCCACATCCGCAGTCTTGTTGGTCACTGAATTTGTGTCCCCAGCACGCCCCTCCCCCCTAGGTCTTCCCCTGCTACTTCCCGAGGCCAAAAGTACAAGGAGTCTCACTTCATCTTATGGGCTTCGTCACAGCTTGCCTGGACGTGCTGCAGAGCCTGGAGGATTGGGGTCTGGCTGAAAACTAGAGGGAGAAGCGGAGAACAGGGAAGGAGACCAGTGAGGTGTCTGGACCTTATTCCTTGGAACCCAAGGGCTGTTTCTGCAGTGGCTTCTGCAGTGGGTCTGGCCTGGTGTCTGGCCCCACCCCCATGGGCTCCACCACGGGCCAGTGGTGGATGGATGGGCCAGTACCACACAGGCCAGACTCAGAGGGTGGGAGCCTACAGTTCTGTTTGGTGTTGGTCAGGTTGAGACGCAGGTTGTCCAAGTGCTCCAGGATCTGCTCCAGGGTCAGCTGGGCCAGCTTGCTGCTAGAGCTCCTCAGGCTGCAGAGAAGTCACAAGAAAGAGTCTGAGACTGCGGCAAAATGCCCTCCCCTCCTAAGGACAGGGGTAGCCTGGACAGGAGTGGAGGAGTAAGGGGTAAGAGAGGGGACCCAAGAACTGGAAAAGGGGGAGGGTCCACAGTGGTCCCGCATGTCATGTACCCACAGACCACTAGATGTCGCCCACAGACTAGGCAGGGACAGTGCAGGCCCTGGTATTGGCCTGTGGGTAGCTGGTGGCCCTGGGCCCAGAAGGTCTCCACAAGGCCCATCCTACCTCTGTCTCTTTCGAGGGAGGCTGTTGTTCTTGATGAGCAGGGACTTGATGTGCTCTGCCAGCAGCTCGTCGTGCTTCATGCACCAGTGCCGCAGGATGCTGGTGGTGAACTGGTCATCGGGGTGGCAGGGCCGGCTCAGCACCATCTTCACCATCTCCTCACTGGGCCTGGGCATGAGGGCACATGGGAGTATGCTCACACCCTGGCCTCAGGGGTGGCTCAATTTCTCCCACTTATTTCCTAGTCCCAGCTGTGCCAACACTGTCCCTGCCCCACCCAAGTCTCTCTAGCTTCCCACTCTAATATTCCTCTCCCTCTTCTCTGTGAGCCGAGGAATGCCTGCCTGGTTTCATTCTCTGCAGTGCCAGGAGACAAGAAGTGAGAATCTTCAGTTACTATGATAGCAAAGGCACGTGCATGCATCTATGGGGGAAGGGGGGAGGGAGAGAGAGATAGAGAGAGAGAGAGTGTGGTGTGTGTGTGTGTGTGTGTGTGTGTGTGTGTGTAAAGGGACCCACCAAATCTCCTTCACTTCAATGAGAACAGTCAGCAAACGGCTGGGAGGCAAAAGGACAAGCACGTGGAACGTGAACGCTGCCCACCTGCCCCACTAGAGCACTGGGCTACCGTGTATCCAGCCAAGGAAGACACAGGGCGGGGGACTGGGAAGTCACAGCCCCCACATGGTCCTCACTTCCTTTAGAAGGCTCTGTACCATTTCTCACCCTCAGGCAAGAGAAGAGGGGGAAGGAAGGTAAGAAGGTGGGAAGGAAAAGACACATAGCTGCGCAGCTGCTGCCCTTTTGTCTGGGGCTGCTGGGAAAGTGCCTGTGAGGGGGATGGCGAGTGACCCCTCTCCTCTGACCCTCCTCTTAGATGGGCCATGTGGTAGCCTCAGGGGTGTGGGGAGGGCCCGGTCTCCAGGGACTAGAATTGCTGTGGCAGCAGGAAACAGAGATGTCCGGTCCCCACCTCTGAGGGCAGCTCCTGGTGGGCAGGGGGTAATGGCCAGAGGAAGTCTAGATCCCAGGGGAGCTGCTTATTTGTAAATCACTTGGGGGGAAGGGCAAAATGAGTAGATGTCGACATTAGGAAAAAACATGGCCAAAGCGGCAGAACAGAAGCTTTTATACCACAGCAGCTCTTGCTAAGCCAGGACTGAGAGCTAAAGAGCTGCAGGGGGAACTCACTTCTCTCTTCGGAGCTGAAGCAGCAGGCAGGACAGAGCCTCCGGGTGCTCTGTGGAAAAGGGTAGAAGTTGTTCAGAGGAATGCATAATTCCAGGAAAAACCCTGGCACCTCTCCCATCCCCCAACCAAGAGACTCAGGAAGGAGCAAGGACAATCTTGGACCAGGAGCCAGGAAGAACAATCTCCTATCTCATTCCTATGAAACCCTGAGACTATAGCTTGGCGCACAGTGGGCCTGTAATATTCATCTAAAGACCAGAGGTGACTGACAGGGAACCTAATCCTGGGCACCTGGGTGGGGACTGGAGTGATGAGTCCAGGCTCACCCTAGAAGCCTAGAGACCTCAGCCAGAATGGGATTGTCCTCTCCTCACACTCCCAACCTACCACCCCCCTCACCCTTGTATTTGAGGTGCTGCAGGATGGGGATTATGGTCTCCAGGGGGATGTTGTGGGCCAGGAAGAGCTGCCAGGCACAGTACTGTTCAAAGGTTTCCCAATCCAGGCTCTGGACTGCAAAAGAGAAAAGAACATATTCTCTCTCTGTCTCTCTGTCTCTCTGTCTCTCTCTCTCTCTCACTCTCTCTCTCTCTCTCTCTCTCTCACACACACACACACACACACACACACAGACAGCTATTCAGGTGGGGAAAGTGATCCTAAGACCACAGTCACTTCCTTCAAACAAAGCTTATTTCCAGTCTTTACACAGCTTCTCTATTCCTGTCGGCCCTGAGGCTGGAGAGGCAAGTGCAAATCTTTCCGCTTTACAAAGCAAAGCAAGAGGCAGACCCAGAGAGACACTGCCCACGACCAAACAGCGGGGTGGACTGACTTTCTAAACCCTTCTTAGTTCCAGAAGTAGCTTTCCTGTTACTAGAAAATACATGGGGTGGGAGACCCCCAACCCTACCTGCCGCCCCATTCGCTCACTTACTGAGGATGTTGAGGACAGAATCTTTTCGAAACATGACCAGGTTCCCCATCATCACATGGCAGACCAGCTCCTGGAGCTAAGGAGGAGGAGGAGGAGGAGGAAGGCAGAACCCATTAGTTCTAACAGAGGCCAGGAAGCTAGAATGGAAAGAGAAGCAGGAGGCTCATGTGGGCAAATATCACAGGACGTGAAAGTTCAGTTTACAGAGATGGGGAGGAAAGGGCACACGGGAATGCTGGGGTCTCTGAAGGATACAGGGGGCTAGTAAAGGAGCAACACTTCTGAGAGGGAGCCACAGGCCTATCTGGAACAAAAATACTCATGGAAAACCTGCCCTCATACTCAGATGGCAGAGGGAGAGGGGGCAGCTGCTGTCCCAGCCATAGGCTGGGTCTCTGACCGGTCCCTTTTGTGCCTGAGGTGGAGGGAAGGGCTGAGGAGGCCGGGCTCTGAGTTAGAGATGTGGACAGGAGGAGGCAAAGAGAGAAGGACCCTCTCTCCTCTATGGACAGGGCAACAGCATGGAATGCAAGGGCAAAAATGGGACCCCAGTTCAGGCCTGAGAATAGACACAGCAAAGCTACAGAGTCATGGAGACCAATGTGTGGTGGGAAGGTCAAACAGAAATGGTTTGACCATCTTCATTCCGAGTCAAGAGGGAAGGCCAGCTGAGTTTAAAAAAAAACCCCACAAAAACAGCCCCCTGGGCTTTCCCAGTGGGAAAGACTGCCCAAAGAACATGGAGAATCAGGGGAACTCCAGGTGGCCTGGTCTGTCCCACCCCACCTCCCTTGGGCTCCACCCTCCTTCCACAGCCTCAAGTGCACACACTGCTGCCTGGGCATGAAGTGGAGGCTGATTCCCAGTCCTGCCTCCCAGGCCTCTCCAGGGCCCAAGCTCTCTGTTCACCTGCGCAGAGTCAATAACAGCCACAATCATGTTCAGCAGTTCCCCGCTCCGCAAGGTCTCATCTGGAAACTGAAAAGAAAAAGGGAAATAAGGGCAGGAGTCCATGGCTCTCACCTCATAATCTACGACGTGCTCAGGGGAAGGCTGGGTTAGCCAGACATGGAGTCCTAGCATAGATTTTTAAACAAAGACCGAATGCTAGAAAACCAGGCATCTAATCCTTGAAGAACCCAAGTTTTGTTATTTGTATATGCACACCTTGAGGAGTGTAAAGAATGAGTAGGGAGTTATTCAGACACAAAGCTACAGCCAACAGGGACTGGACATGATGTGGAGTGGGTGCAGAATAAGCACCCACACCCTTGGCAGCAAAGAAATCCAATCCATACTGAGCCTTGGCCACAGAACAGGTGTACAGTGCGTGAGAGTTACCTGACGGTGGGGTGGGTAGAGGAAGGCAAGATCCCCCTAGAGAGGCCAATCCACCAGGGAGGGAACTGCCTGCCATCTGCCAGGCACCTGCTCCCCTCCCCGCTCCAGTCGTGAGCTGTCATGCCCACACCCGTGCCCTGGTTTCCCTGTTCCTGGGAACTTCCACCAAAAGGAGGAGGAACCGATACTTCCTCCTATATTCCAGTTCCTAGAGAAGACTCTAAGTGAACCAGGGAAATGAAAGTCGAGTTTCCATTGCAGAGGCCCCGGTCTCTGGGAGTCATTAAAAAGAATCTGAGGCTGAGCTGTCAGAAGACAGAAGGCTGGGGCACATGAAAATGGCCTGCTGGGGGGCGGGGGGTCCTGTGCTGGGTACAGAGGATGGGACAAAAGCCGAGAAGCCAAGTATTTAAACCTAGACCCCAAGTCACACCACATCAAAGAGGACTTCCTGGGGTTCAGACATTGTTCAACCTTTAAAAAAGAAGGTGGAAGGAGGGGACAGCTGTGGTGTGGGAAGTGGCCTACTGAGGCGAGAGGTGTACAGGAGGGTCAGGGCTGTGTGCGATGAGAAGCCCCCTCCTTGGCCACCCCACTTCACAGCTACAGCGGAGGCACCGACCTCTGTGTAGATGGAGGGTGTGAGGTGACACAGCAGCCGCACGTCGTCCTCCTGACAGGCCTTCATGTCCATCATCAGGCAGGTGTGCAGATCGCCCAGCTGGGTGGCCTGGGCAAAGGACTCGTACAGGTTCATCTTCCCTGCGGCGGCTTTGCTGCAAGACCAGTTGGGCCTAAGCCAGCAGCCTGACCCCCAGCACCCAGTACCCGCCTCGGGCAGGGCACTAGGGGGTTAGTTAGTACCTAAGGGGTACTAGGGGGTCCTGCTCTAGAATTCCTTTGCTGCCCGACATGCCCTGGAACCAGGAGACACTGCTCTTTCTCTGAATCCCTTCCCAGAGTGCCAGCCAGGGCTGTGAACACCATCAGTGAAGCCACTAGTTGGTGAGTCAAAAACAGAAGGAGGCTCAGGTCAGACCCTCTGGGCTCTGAGCAATCAGGGCAATAATTCAGGGAACCTCCCACACTACACCACATATAAAACGTAATTCAAAATGGGTTAAAGGGCTAAATGGAGAAGTAAAACTATACTACTGTTAGAAGAACACAAAGGAGTAAATCTTCATGACACCACAAACACCAGTGATGAAGAAAAAATAAATCAAACTTCAGCAAAGCTGAAAAGTTTTATGTTTCAAAGGATGCCAAAAAAAGGACAGCCCACGGAATGGGAAAAAATATTTGAAAACAACATATTTAATAAGGGATTTATGTTCAGAATATATAAAGAACCCCTAAAAATCAACAAAATGATAAACAATTTGGTTAAAAATTAGAAGAGGATTTGAACAGACGCTTCTCCAAAGAAAATACCAAAGAAAATATGCAAATAAGTACGTAAAAGGATGCTCAACATCCTGAGTCATCAGGGAAATGCAAATGAAAGCTACAGTAAGACACCACTTCACACCCTGTAGGATGGCTAGAATCCAAGAGCTGGACATAAAAAGTGCTGGAGGGCTCAAAATATTTCAAATTAATGATAGTTGCACAACTTTGTATACAGAGCAAAAACCTCTGAACACTTTATTTATTTATTTATTTATTTTAAAGGATTTATTTATACAAGCACTGGGTACAGTCAGAAGCGCGGGAGGGTGAGAGAATCCATCAGAGCCAGAGCGGGGAACAGGACAGGCAGAATGACGAAGTACACTGCTGAGGGGAGCAGCGGGCGGCAGGAGAGGTCTGTGCGCCATGTGGGACCCTTGCTGGTAGCCGGGGATCAAACCTGTGCTGCACAGGCTGTGGGCAGCTTCGCAGCCCAGTGCTCAACCGCTACGCCACCAGGGGAGGCCCTAAACTGAACACTTTAAAAGGGTGTATCTAATGGTATGTAAATTATATCATAATAAAGCTGTTACTTAAAAAAAAAAAACAGGGCCTCCCTGGTTGTGCAAGGAGTTAAGTCTCAGCAATATGAAGCTATCCGCAGCCACTACAGCACCAGTTCAGTCCCCAGCCAGGGGGCTACCCACATGGCATAGCAGACCTCGCCTGTCTCGCCCACTACTCCCCTCAGCAGTGTGTTTCGTCAGTCTGCCTGTTCTGTTCCCTACTATGTCTCTGGTGAATCCTCTCGCCCTCCCGCGCATCTGGCCTGTACCCTGGTTCTTGCATAAGTAAATAAATAAATCTTCAAAAAAATTAAAAAATAAAAAAAACAAAACCAAAAAACAACTCCGGTGATGACAGGATCCCCCACAGATACGGACTGAGTGGGTGGTAGGAGAGAGACTCTCCGGGATGCTTCCTGACACCCACTTACATGTGGGGACCATACTTACCTGGCCCTTAGGTAGTAGAGGAGGTGGTAGCCAATCTTGGGCTGCTTCTGATATAGCTCAGAGAGGAGGTCCAGGAGTAGAGAGAAGCTGCTATTGTCTTCCTGCATCTGGCAGAGATTCCTGGAGGCGAAAGGTAGGAGGAAAGGCACAGAGCTCACCTAGGGTGGACAACCGGGTGGCACCTCTGGGGTGGCCTTGCTGCAGAGCTCTCCTTCTTGCAGAGGGAGCTCTCCTTCTTGCAGCTCTCTTCTTGCAGAGGGAGTCCCATTTCCCCAGGACAGAAGTGAATGTGTGCTGAGAGAAGGGTGGATGGCAGCTCCACACTTACCTAAATATCAGGTAGAGAGGCTTCCCCACAGACTCCTCCAGGGACCTACAAGAGGAGGGTGATATATGAGAGTCCACATGAAGGGAGGGAGGGTAGACAGGCAGATACTATGGAGGATGGGCTTGAGGTGAGATGCCAGGCTGCTCTTTTCCTAACCAAGTCAAACTTCCTACTGTCCCAGAGAAAACATTCCTATATTAACAGCCACAATCTGGGCTGTTAATGCCATTCATGAAGATTCCTGCCCTTCAAGAGGGTCCACACAAGAGTCAATCCCATTTGAAGCAGCAAATACTGGGGCTACTGGGCACAGCAACCAGGCGGGGACCTAGGGAGGAGAGCAAGTCCACTGCCCCCATGTGCTTGGCCTTCAGTAGGCAAAAATAAATCCTTGTTTAAATGAATCAGTAAATGTGAGAATAAAAACAAGTGAACATTATTTTTCTCAAGTCCATGGCAAGGTGTTTCTTAGACTCAGGCTGTAAGAACATACTTTTGGCTCCCTGAACCTGGGGTGGGTGGGGGGCTGTCAGGAAAGATGAGCCTTACTCCTCGGTGATCTCCTCTGGCAGCACCTCCCCTCGGAAGTGGGCTTTAAAGAGCTCCTGTAGGCAGGAAGCAAGGACAGACAGCTGCTCCGAGTCAAAGTCTTCCTGGGTGGTGAGACAAGGAAGGGCGTGTCACCCTTCAGACCCAGCCTAATTGCTCCCACTCCCCAGTCATCTCTGAACTCATCTGCTTCCATCCCCAGATGCACCCATGGTGGGGAGAGGGCAGCTCTCTAAGCTGGGCCGGCTAGGCCACTTCCTCCCTAACGGGGTGGGTTCCTCCTCACCTCTAGGACCTGGTCCACGATTTCCTGCATGACCTCACACTGGGCCTCTGTATCGCTGCAGTACACAAGTGAGAGGAAATTTCAGGGACATGAATGATAGCAGAGGGCAGGACATACACCCAGAACAGTGTGCACAAACACTCTCTCGTGCAGACAAAACAATGGAGCTCTGTGAATCCAGCTGGCTCTGGGAGACTTTAGGACAGAATCTGCTGCTCTCTGGGCAGAAGCCTAAAGAGGAGGGAAATCCCCACCCTCCTGCTCCAGTTCTTAGGCTCTTCACCCAGAACCTAGGGAGTGAGAATCTGGAGTGCTGGGGAACTGACTTGCCCCCTCTCAGCCCATAATCCCAAACTAGATTGCAGATGTCTCTCACGCAGCTTCAACTGGTTCTCCGCATGCCCCATTGTGTCCCACCGCTCTGCCAATTCTCTAAGCACCAGGGGTGAGTCCAGAGCTGGACCTTCCAAGGTGGAGAAGAGATCTGCACCCACCTGCCCTTCTGCAGCTGGAGTACTTTGTCCCTTAAGGACTCATCCAGCTGGTCAAGGTAAGGGGTGATGTCAACCGGTTCTTCCACCACAGTCTCCTTGATAGGGTGGAAGCGGAACTCTCTCTTCTTTCCTGAAAGCAGACATTTAGGAAAGAAGTCACTTTGCCCAGTCACCAGCACCAGACAGTGCCCCCAGCATGGACCCTCGCCTGTGCTTGGTACTGCGCACTGTGCACTCAGTACTGGGTGAGGGCTGACGCACTGCCCAGTGTGCACATGCCCTGGCCCTTAGAAGCAAGCAGGGCAGAGGCCACCTCTCTCCCTCCTGCTCCAGGGTCACGTGCAGGGTTCTGCACCTCAGAGTCTCATCCAGTAATCCTGTTGACAAAACTGATGGGGCAAAGGGGACTGACAGACCAGAGAGGCTACTTCCGTCAACAAGTGCTCTTGGGGTTGACACCACCCTGAGCTGTCTCTGCTGCTTGCCTCACCTTTGCTGTTGAGATCTTCCTCATCGTCACTGAAGGCTGCCTCTGCATTGTCATAGCAACTCTCATCCTTATCTGACATATGGTTGTCCATCTCCATGGAAACTGGCTCCTCAATTTTGACTTGGGAGTAAAGAGAGACAAGGCATTTAATGACCCCCTGTGTCCTCTACTATACTTCATGCCTTTGGGAAGGGGAGACTGGGGGACCAACGGGAGAACAGGGACTTCACGACCTAAATAGAACACTGACCCTGGAAGGCCAAATGTCTTGTCCTCATAACACTTCAGATCCTGGAGCGGGAGTTTTTCCAGGAATAAAAAGAGGACAGGACATTAACTCCTTTATGTTCATTTCAGGATAAGTGGGCAGACTGGACCAGGAACAGTCCCCCAGGCTTTTAATTTAAAACCAAGTTGGGAAGTTCTCCTTGGCTTAAATCCTTACCTCAAAGCAAGAGAGAGAGAGAGAGAGAGAGAGAGAGAGAGAGAGAGAGACTCTCTCTCTCTCTCTCTCAAATTGGGAGTAAGATCTTAGACCCCAACATGATAACCTCTCATGAGGGCCCAGGGCCTAAAGCTTAGAAGAGAAAAGACTGGCAAAGTTCAAGTGAGATAAACACATGTTCCATGAAAGCCTTTTACCTACTGAGGAGAGGCTAGTAAGAGAAAAAATAAGAGTTATGAGAACAAACGAGATCAGTGAAAATAAGATAAGATTAGATGGAGAGGGAGAACCAAGGAAGATGACATAAAAAGGTGAAACAGATGCTGGAATGGGAAGATTCTGTACCTTCCACAGGTGGGGATGGCGAACTGCAGAACTCAGGAAACTTCTCCCTCAGCATTGCCCGCAGTTCCTTATCCAATTTAGGGTTGTCAAACAGTGGAGCCAGATGCCTGTAGGGGAACATGAAAGAAGGTCAACATCAAAGCTTCTCCCTTCTAACTCCACACAGAGTCAGAGATAGGGCTAAGCCAGCCAGGATAACTGGCCCACACTCGGAGTCTTGGAGTCATGAGGGAACAGGGGAGGCCCCTGAAGCCCCTTGTAAAATGATGGCAGGACAGAAATTCCTATAAGAGTCATGAGGACATGGGCCAGGCAGTCTAAGGGGAGCCAGCACTTTTTATACCTTGAGAGGGAAAGGGTCAAGCAGCAGCACGCCACACTGGGATGTGCCTGACGTAGTGAGAGATGAGAACCCTTCCCCCACTCCAACACATCAAGTCCTTACGCCAAGACTCGTTTCTCCACAATGTGATTGAGGGAAGAGAAGACGCCCTGTCGCACATGGCCCTCCAATGGTGGATAGAAGTTGGGAATAATCTGGAGGGGAAGAATGGGAGGAGAGAATGAGCACAAAACCTTCCTTTCAGTGTTCTGCCGAACTGCTTAGGTTTTATTCCGGGGAGATTGGGGAGTATGGCTGCAGAAAGGACTAGGTTGTTCCTGGCCATTTCAGGCTGCTAAAATGGGAAATTCTTATTGGGCCTGGCTCAAGGAGATGGATCCAACTTGAGTCATCATCCTTGGGGCTAAGCGAGCCCAAGGCACATGGAAAGATGCAACTGAAGGCAGCAGGACTATGGAAGGGAAATAAATGTTCACTAACTTGGGGCATGGGATGCAGGACCACCTCTGTGTCTGCCCCTGAGGGGCACTGGGAGATCAGGTCAGAGGGGATGTACAGTGAGCTCTGTTTGGCCAGGCATGAGAGCAGCACGCTGTGGTACTTACACGGCACATGAAGTCCAGGAGTGTGGCAGTGATGGCTGGGTGAGGCTTCATGGAGTGGTGCATAACCAGGATGGCTGGTTCTGGAGAATGTGGAATTAAAGGGTCCCCCCCCCCCCACATCAGACCATTTGTCCTCAACTCCACCAAATGGGGTATCAATATATATGAATGGCTGTGGAATGAGCTGTGTCTATGTCTACCCCATACCCCAATTCCCAATGAGCAGACACCCCCCCAGAACAGCTGGTAGCTCTAGTCTCCTTTTTGTCCTTTAAGCATTCAGCTTGAAGGAGAGGAAAAGCAGGACTCAGTACAGCCTTTTGCTCTGCTAGGCCCTCCCCACCCAAAGCCCAGCATAAGGCCTCGGGGCAAGGGGGTGGAGCCATCGCTTGGCCTCATCAAAGCAATTTTCCTTCTAGGTCAAGGGAGCGCTGATGAGGCACAACGGAACTGCTCCCAGATAAGCTGCCTCCACTCCCAGCTGCCTTGAGATTTATGACTGCTATCACTGGAGACAAGGCGGTGGGGCTTGGGGGATGGAGAGTGGCGCTGCCTGGTCTGGGTCACATACCTATGTTCATAATGCTATCCTTGTCTGGGCTGAAGAACAGCCAGTCATAAAACAAAGCCAGCTTGGCATTTGAGGCGGCAACATTAGACTGGAAAAGAGAAAAAAAAAAGTGGGTTAGTTTCATCAACTGGCTCCCTCTGAGATTCAGATGTCCAAGGCAGATTCTAGGACCCAAGTGACTGTTTCATCTATGAAATTCAGGTCCTAGTGAGACATGGGGGAAACCCACAGAGCTCGGGGCCAGCTGAATCTGTGCTGTATTGGAGTCCACCCTGAGGTCTTCCCAGCCAAGGAACTAGGGATGGGCTTGGCTTCTCACATACAGTACAAAATGCCCCTGATCCCAAGCCTACAGGCCTGGGAGTCCCCTGACCATGCCTGAGCCCAGACTGCACCTGGACTAGCCCCTGGGTTGCCCTTGCTAGGCTCTAAGGCACATTTCTAAAGGACAGACCCCTAAGAACAGCCTGTTATTACATCTAAATCAGCACATTCCAAGGACTCAATCAGATGGGGGAGGGAACCCTGTCAGAAGAAGTGAAAGGGCAGCTAGATGCCAGAGAATGGAGTATCTGCCACCCAGGACATAAGGAGGAAAATGCTGGAAAGGAAACAGCTTCACTGTGGATTCATGACATTTGGGGAAAGGAAGGGTCCAAAGCTAATGCCAAAAGGCTTAAAAGTGTGGGTCTCAGGAACACAACAATTGAATTTGAAAAAGGAACAATTCAGCTGAGTAATGATATGTGGCTTCTGGAAGCTAAAAGGAAATTCAAGGATGCTGGGCTTCAGGGATTCAGGGATATTCAGGGATGCAGTAAAGACACAGATGAACCTGCTTAACTTCAAACCGAGATGGGAAATAATGAGCATAAGTACATTTCTAGACATAAAGATTGAGACATTTAGGAGGAAGAGGGTGAAAGGATGTTCTTAGGAATCAGGTAGCCTAGAAAATCAGGTTGGAAATATGGGGAACACAGAGATGATGTACCCTTCACCAGTCACAGCCTCTATCCCATGGCCCATTCCTTACCGTGCACGTTGTCAGGAGCCAGCCAATGATGGCCCATCGGGGTAAGATATCTGAACTCAGAACCTCATTAGAAGGGTGGACAACCCCACAGATGTAGCGAATGAGGTCACAGCGCAGAGACTGACTGTCTGGAGTTGACAGGTACTGGCGCTGGAACCAATCCTGATATCGCTTTTGTTGGCCAAACCGTACCTGGGAAGGGGACATTGAAAAGAGAGACTTAGAAGAGAGCGTGGGGTCTCTGGGCAGAAGATAATGAGCACCATTCAACTCTAGGCTGGATCTAGACGTCCATTCATTCATTCATTCATTCTCTCATGCCTCTCCTCCTTTGGGAGGATTTCCTGATTTAAATCTCCCTGGATTTTAAAAGATGCTGAACAAGGTCTTCCCAGCTTACCTAGAATACCAGTGTGCATTCATTCTTGCCACGGACCTGATGTCACACTTACCCCTCAACTGCCATCGCAATTCAATTTTGGCCCCTTATTCATTACTGATCGCTGATTCCCCCAGTCCGAAACATAATCTTATTTCGTTGAGTCGCTGGTGGACAGCATGGAACTTCTTTGAGAACAAGAGCTGAGCCTGTTCACGGCTCAGCAACAACTGAAAGCTTCCTCATGCTGAATAAACGAACAGGCCCAGACTCAACAAATCTTCCTTCAGCAAGTCCTTACCCAAAACAGAGTAAGTGGTTACAGATATCAAGACCAAGTAAGGGGAAAGACCTGTTTTTCTTCTCCTTTCCCCCCCAATTAAACCAAAATAGAAAGCAGAGAGAACAGAAAGGTTAAAAATAAAAATAAACAACAAGATACATGTATGGAACATTCTGCAACGATGGTGGCAATCGAGCACTTAAAATGTTGCCTTAGTGACCAAGGTACTGAGTTTTAGTTTTATTTAATTGAAATAGCCACTAGCCTTGTGGCTACCACATGGGAAGGGACACATCTGACATTTCTCTTGGATGATTAGGGAAAGGGAAAGTTGGCTAGAGCAGTAACTCCCTAACACCAGACTGACTGCAGAGGAGCTGTTGCCTGGCGTGGGTTAAACATACAGATCCCTCAATCAGATTCTCTGGAAGACTGAGATCCAGGGAGATTCATTTTTTTACATGCTCCATTAACAATTCTGCCATAACTCGATCATGTTTGGAAACCAAAGGGCATTTCTCAGATGAACATCCTCACTTTAGCCTATCTATATGCACACGCACACGCACGCTTACACGTTCTTTGTTTTACGGTAAGGACTTCAGCCAAGCAGAACTTCCTGACTTGGTTTTAAATTAAACGAGCCTGGAAGGCTGTTCCTGTTCCAATCTGCTATCCTTTCATAGCACATTTCACGCCTGTAAATGACTTTATTTGTACACAGTTATTGGTTTAATAACTGCTTTAGATAGACTGAGATGCACCCCAAATTCTTAGCCCTCTGCCTAATGTCAGGTAGATGGCCTGACCACGACACTAATGGTCAGCACTCAATGGTAGCAGCCGCAGGCTGAAGGAAGAAGCCCAGCTAGTGTCCACAACAGCTCTTCCTGCTCTAACAGCTTAGCTTACCCGGGACGTCATGAAAAGGAGCTTAGTCTCCATGTCTGGGGTTAGCCGACATGCTAGAAATTTTCGGGACGTTCTTGACTGAAGAAGTTGCAGGATACCTGAACCAAGTGTGGGAAGGGAAGAGAAGAGAGAAATCTGAGGATCAAAAGGAAGGGAAAGCAGGTGGGGAACCTGGGTCAGATACTGATGGCCATGGTCTTACTCATGGGGAAATTCTAAGACAAGACCAAGAGAGGTCAAAAATAGGTACAACTGAGGGTTCCGACCAGCATCTATATGTTCTGCTCCAACCAACCCACCCCCAGGACCCAGATATATTAATTCTCTTCTGCTGGCCTTCCAGAGCCCTCTCACATTATTCCAGTTGGGAACAAGTGGGAAAGTTAGGGGGGAAATATGGGAAACCCTAGCCTCTCTTTCTGCTCCTGATGTCCCCTCACTGGGTCCTGGGATCAGTGTGGTGGTGTGGCATAAGCACGAGCTCTGGAGACAGACCTGGATCCAAATCCTGCCTCTGACACTTACTAGCTGTGTGGCCTTGGGAAAATTACTTAATCTCCTTGAACCTCATTTTCTTTATCTGTAAACATGGAAAGTAAAATATCCATCTTACAGGAGTGTCCTGAGGATTAAATGAGTTAACATACATGTGTCTAGCACAAACTAGGCACGAAAAACAAATCAATACATGTTCAATATAAGACTGGTACAACATAAGTATAGCTAGGACTTTCCTGACTTCCCAGCTCCTAGACTATTGCTTTCGTGTTGTGTGCATGCACCCAAGCATACACATGCATGCTGGAGTGGGGCAAGAAGCAAAGCAAGATACTGTTCAGGCCATAGTTAGGACCCTGAGAAGGGGAAAGGGATACGAAGAGAACCTGGTAAAGGGAGGCACGCAGAGACTTTTTCCTTCCCTCGAAGAGGATTTTGGCCAAGCAGATCCTCGGAATTCAGAGGTGAGACTGCTCCCAGGGAAGGGACTTGTCTTACAGGACTAATTCCGGTCCTTCTGCTGCTGACTCAATCACAGCTCACCTCTGACTCCCCTGCCCAACTCAGTGAAGCTGGAAACTGGTCATCAGCTCACCTCATGCGGCAAAGAGCTGCCTGGAGGGGAGCAGGGGATCCCAGTTCTGTCTCACCTTTCAAGGGAGTAATGACAAGTGGAGTCTGCCATACAGGCTGTCTGGGACCCAAATGGATTGTTCTGTACTTCTCGCAACCCACACCCAGTTGTACGTGGCAGAGCCTGCTCTGTCCAAGCTGCCTACATCTGACTGCCAAAGCCTCTCCCACCGACTACCTCTGCCTCTTGGTTCAAGCAGTATATATATACTGATGTCCCACCTCTCGAGAACAGGATGTCCTAGCCCTTACTTACCTGTGAACTGAGGGCTCAGGGCCTGAGGGTTATGGATAATATCTTTCCAAAGTAGTTCAAATTCTGGTATCCTGGCAACATTCTGAAGTAGTCTTACAAGATCCCGGCCAATCATCAAACATTCCATGAACTTGATGGGGTGGGGGTGGATGACATGAAAAAGAATAAAAACATGGATTGTTTGCCTGCTACAAGGAGGATGAAGGAAAAACGTGTCTGTTCCAGGGAGGGAAGGAAAGAGGGTCAAAGAGACTATGAAATTTCTTCTGGAAGCAAGGGATTGTCTCCTAGTTGCTTAGAGGAAGAGAGCTGGAAGCTGGGGTCTGATATCAAGGATGAGAGATTACTAGAAAATGCTGCAGCCCTGCTGGCTTTCACATTAATCTGTTCCCTTCTCCTCCCAGAACTGTTTTCATCTGGGTCTTAGGAAAGTAAGATTCCAAAAGAATAGGATTGGTAAGTTGAGCCCTCCTCAAAACTGGACTGGTCCAGCAGAGCATTCATTCTGTGATAATGGCAATGCTTTACATCTGTGCTGTCCAAAAGGAGAGCTACTAGCCACATGTGGCGAATGACCACCTGAAATGTGGTTAATTCAACCAAAAAAACTGAATTTTTAGATTTTTATCTAATTTTAATTAACATTTCCACAAGTGGGGCCTCCCTGGTGGCACAAGGGGTTAAGCACATCATTGTGAAGCTATTCACAGCCTCTGCAGCATTAGTTCATCCCCAGCTGGCCAGGGAGCTACCCCACATGGCACAGCAAACCTCTCCTGTCTCACCCACTGCTCCTCTCAGCAGTGTATCAGTCTGCCTGTTCTGCTCCCCACTGTCTCTGGTGAATCCTCTTACCCCGCCCCCTGAACCTCTGGCCTGTACCCAAGTTCTTATATGCATAAATAAATAAATCTTTAAAAAAATTTAAAAAACAAAAAACCATTTCCACAATTGGCTAGTGCATTAGCTGCAGGACCTCTCTCTCAGGAGGTCTAAGAGCGGACAATTCATAATCCCACTTGACCATGCAAATACCCATGGTCTATGTGTATGTTTGTGTGTGTATGCTAAATACACATGCACACCCATGCAATACCTAACAGTGGGACAGGCTGTGTCTGAGATGTACATCAGTATCCATGAAGCTGACCAGGAAAACCCCTAGGGTGCAAGCATAACAAGCAGCATTTCTAGGAACTAGAGTTAGTCCACAGCGATTCCCCTGATCTTCTACCCTCATCTTAGAAAGATGAAAAACTCCAGACCTCGAAGTATCTCCACCTCTCCAGCAAATCATTTCTGGCCTAGGACACCTTATAGAGCTTTTAGAGGTATCCCATCCTGGGTTTCATGTCCTTATACTGTTTTTGTCCTCACCCGTTCCCGAAGCAGTGAGATGCAGAAGTCCACTTCCTTCTGCCGCAGGGCCTGGAGCTGAGCAGTCCCGTGATGGTCGACGATGAGGCGGAGGTATGTGTAAACAGCCATGGCAATGAGGATGCTGCTCTTCAATACCCACTCCCTGTTGGGATGGAAGACAATGGCACCCATACCTGCCTGGGCCTGTTCACCCTCCCAATGCACCCCACACTTAGTTCCAGGGCCTCGGCAAGGTCTGATGAGCAGTACTGGGAGTAGGTTCCTTGATGATGGCTCGCTCCTGCTGTCTTTATCTACAGTGGAGTATCAACTGCCTAATGGGGAACAAGTTCTTACCACTCTTGCAGGTGCCCAAAAAAGGTAAGTGCTGAATGAAAGCAACTCCTTACCACAGAACCACTTGGCTCCCAACAAAATAATTTTGTTCGTTGGCTTTGCTCCTTTGAACATGTACTAAGGGCCTAATGTTCGCCAAGTTCTGCATGACATACTAGGGACAAAGTCAAATTGTAGTTTCTACCGGTCCAGATTATGAGGAAAAAGGTTTTGTAGATCCCAGAGGTTTTGGAAGACACAAGTCAGCCCACCATGCCACAAACATTTCCCCGGTTCTCTCTGGTTCTCTCTAGCAACCGATCCCACTCCCAGACGATGAGTCACCTGCCCTAAATCAGAATCTGAAAAGAATGTGATTTTGGATAACAAAGTATTTTCCCAGGAGTTTTAGAACCTCCCTGGGGAAAGGGGGTAATGAAAGAGGGGGGGAGGAAGACAGTGGAAAGACTCCACAGCCATCTCAAAGTACCCAAAATTGGGGAGCTGTCTCCCCGCCAAGCAAGTAATTTATAAGGACTTTGGTGTCTCTGCTGGAAGGCAGAGAACCAGAGGAAGAAGACAGGGAATTTAATTAATCCAACTAGGCAACATACTGATTCCGGAAAAGTGCTCAAGCCACTTAATTAAAAGACTCTGGCCTTTTCCTTTCACATAATGAAAGCAGTAGCCAAGGACACCGGGGAGGGGAGGATCCCCTCCCCCACCAGCTACCTTTGAATGACACAATCCTAGAGATACTTGGAAGGGAGTGAGGGAGTAGAAAGAAGATAATTTTATATTTCTAGGGACATACCTGCAGGAAAGGATGTCAACTTTTTGAAGGGTAGGAGAGGGTGCAGCTATCATACACTTATACACCGAGACTATGTTTGAATTGCCCAACTGAGGGAAATTCAGGTTTAATGTATGAGAACAGGAGGCATCTGGCACCAGGAACAATATGAGAAAATTTATTTTTTAGGAAGAATGCTAGCACAGGTGAGAACATATCTGAATCCAGGAGTGGGGTAAGGAAAAGAAAGATACTAGTGAGACCTTCTGACCCAGGGCACTAGGAAGACACAGGTCCTGCAAGCATAGACCTGGTGAGAAACTGCTAGAACCTCCTCAACTATGGGATTGGACTAACAGAGAACCCCATCTGCAGCTGCACTGCCATGTCCAAGGCACTAGGTGGCACTGCACAGCAGACTGGGCACAGCTCTGGGGCTTGGGCATCGCAGAAAACAGTAATCTCTTTCACAAGTGTGAATTAAGAGGTGAGGGTTAGTCTTCTAAATTGTAGGAAATAGGGATATGATTAGCTCTATCAATCCTCTAATTACTATGGTGTCCTCCCCTCAGAAACAGACTCTGAAGTCAAATAACAAGAAAACTGAGACCATAGCACAAAGAGGAAGGCCTTGCTCTCAAATAAGTTTGAATATGGAAAAGTCCTCATAAAATTTCTGCTCCTTTACTTTGATGGAGAAGAAAAAGAAAGAGCCAGAAAGTCCAATATGCCCTGCTTTATGTCCTTTCTACCACTGCAGCCTCTCTACCAAGCTGCAGGATTCAGTGGTCTTGATGACCTACTCACTCCCACAGCCCCCCATGCCATTTCAAAAGGAGAGCATGCTTGATGGAGAGTCCTGGGGAAAAAGGGGCCTGGGTAGTTGGCTGGCCCCACTCTGCTGAGCTCACTCTCCCTTACCTCCCCCCCCAAAAAAATAAACATTCCAAGGAGGTCTGGGTCAAAAATAAACCTTTATCAGATGAAACCAGTTTTTCCTGGGCTTGGAGACATTTTAGCAAAGACCTTCTTTCCCACTCCTTTAGCCTCTGGGCCATACCATGGCCTTAATTCCTTCACTTGCCACAACACACTTGCCTCTCCCTTCCCTGCCCCTCTAACCTGAGGTACTCTTGGGCCACCTCCGGGTCTTCACACAGTCCTTCATCCCCATCACCCACATATACATCCATCACCACCACATGCAACTCTTGCCCCACCCTTTGCAGTAGACTCTACCTCTGCTCTGTCAGGATATCCAGAACACTCTCTGCCAACCAGATATTTTTTGCTGTAACATCCCCACCTGATTTCAAAGGGGGAGAAAACAAAGAATCAGAATGGCTCTGATTAGCAACTCAGCTAATCCAATACATTTCTTCACCCATCCCGCTGTTCCACCCCTGTATCCCATTCACTGATGTTTAGTACTGGAAAAATAGATTCTTCTGTGTCAGCCTTTAAAGTTTCCCCCTTTATACTGGGAAAGAAGAGAGGGAAGGTTCTAGATTTTTCCAGTAACCAGAGATGCTACTTTTCCATAGACTAGGGGTTAGAGTGGGAGTACTTTGACTCTTTAATGTCTGGGAAGGAGACATGAAAAGTCCACGGTTGAGAAGAAAGGATGATATCTCAGGCATGGCCTGAGGTTCAGGTGGCTAGTTGTAACAGCCAGGGATGTAGACGTTCCAAATCCTGTGTCAGGCTGTAGACAGGCCAAGGGTTTCTAGTTGCCAGAGATCATAGTCCTCAGTGCTTACTATGGAACTTCCTGGGCCTAAATTAACATGCCAGACCACAGTCTCAGGATGAGAAGTGGGGACTAGGAGTGCCAAACAGGAAAGAAAGTGCCAGGCGAGTGCATAAAAATAGCCAGCACAACACTATGCCTTGCCCCAGCTTCTAATTTAAAAATTAAATGTTTACAGTCACATATCACATAGATTAATATTTACATCCACCAAAAACAGAGGCATCACTGTTATATAAAATCCTAAGGAAGAAGCAAAGACCCAATGGACAACGGTGAGATAAGAGAGGCAGGGTCATTTTTAATCGAACACGTGTGATCCTGGGAGTAGAAGAGGTAACACAGGCAGTCTCTTGGATATTCAAAGGCGGACAGATGTCACTGATGCCAAGGAGATAATAAAACCTAAATGTCAGGGTCTGTTCTGTGACATAGTTTGTCCCTCAAACTGGCCCTAATCAAATGTCATAATTATTAAGTAGCAAGTGTTTAGAACACAGGGGTGGAGCCAGGGACGATGTCTGGGTTTCTGAGAGCATAATGTGACAGGAACAAATTATTTGCCTTTACTTCTTTCCCTATCCTTCCCAGATCCTTCCTGATCCAATATGCCATGAAAGCTCAGAGTGAGGACTGGGTAAAACAGGCCAACTATTGTGTCAGGCCCTGAGTTTGCAGGAAGGAAAATGAGGCAAGATTTATTTATTTATTTATTTATTAAAAAGGCCTCCTGTGATTTTCCAATTTCTTTCTGCAACATATGTGACCACAAACAAGCATTTAAACAACTCAGGAATCAAGTCCTTCAGAACCCAATCATTCTTCACTGTCTGGATTTACTCTCTGGACACCTGTCCTTTATTCTTTTGCCAAACTCACCAGCAATCTGCTTCATGAATGTCATGCAAACACCATCGGCTCCTAGAACCCCACTCTTCACTAGCTCCCGTACCAACCACACCAGCTAGAGGAGAAAAAAAGACAAATGAAGAGATGAGCCTTTGAATTTGAGAAGGGCTAATTCAGTCAATACTATAATTCAGGTACACAATGAGAGGGCTGTGTTACCCCCGCCCCCCCATTCTGCCTTCCCTTCCCTTTGAGAGGATCCAGTCTGTGATGCCATTGGGCTGGATCTCTCTTCTCTTTCAGGTCTTACCTGAGTACGACAGGTATCCTGCAACTTCAGGTACTTCTCCATAAGTATCTGGTTGATTTTATTCAGGACAATATTCATGCCGTCACGACTCACCAGAGCCAAGTCCCGGTAACACTGTGAGAAGCGAGGTTTGTGAGCAGCCAGCAAGCTGAGGATAGGCTCCTGACCCCACCCATAATGGGTCCCCTACCCCCCACCTCTTCAGCTTCAACACCAATGGGATACTGAGGGGCCATGAAAGCCTGTTCACTCCTGACATGATCTTTCCACAGGACTCTTCCATCCCACACCTATCCCTTGCTCTGTCACACAGGGTGGAGAAAAGGAACCGAGCTTCTCTAATAAGGCAGAAAAGCCTGCTAAGAAAGGCTCCCTCCTAGTCCTATCCCTGTCCCTCTACTTCCCTGCTTAGGAAGTGTCACACTGTTTGAAGTCAAAAGCTGAGCAAAACCAGGTGGAGGCCATCTGTTTTTCATCTGCCAGGAAAAGGTAACTGTAGAACAGGTTTGGTAGAACATGCCAGAAAGGATCCCACAGAGGATTTTAGACCTGGACTGACCCATCCAGATGAAGCAAAGGAGTACCAAGAAAAGAGGACCTAGGATGAGGGCCCCTGAAAAAAGGGGCAGAACTGAACAACTTCTGTTACCAAATATTTTTACTCTTTTCTCTGGGTTGTCCCTTGCTTTGGCCAAGTATTGGGGAAAAAAGGGTCTTTAGGTTTAACCAACTCTGTGGAGGTGAGGGAGGGCATGCCAGTCTCCTGTCTGAGAGTTGCTGCTTCCCTTCCCCTACAGCTTTTCTTACCCCATCTCTCTAGAGACCAGCCTCCTGGAGAAATACCTTAGGGGAACCTCAATAATGATCTCCTTAGCCTGCTGAGTTCTATCCAGTCAGGGTCTCAGCACAAAGGGTAAAAAAACAGAGCAGTAGTATCGTACAACCTCGAAGGCCAGTAGCAAGGATGGCAACAAGAGTAATAGTGATTGTAACAGCTAACATGCATCAGCCTTGTGCACAGACCTTTTACTACATATATTAGTGCACTTGATTCAAATAACAGCCTTTTGAGATAGGTACTGCTTATTATATGTCTGTTTTTACAGATAAGGAAATAGGCATGGAGAGGCTCAAGTGATTCCCTCCAGGTCACATATGAGATAAAAGGGAGAATGAGGACTCAGAAACAGGCAGACCAATTTGAGATGCCACGCTCTTTATCAACCCCTTACACCAACTTTAGGAATAATTAAAAGTGAGTGCTGGGGGTTGGAGGTAACAGCTTATGGTGGTGGGGCTTTGATGGTGTTCATGGTGTGATAACATACATTTGTCGGGTTGTTAACCTATACCCCTAAAACATCTATAGGGTTGTAAATCAATGTCACATCAATAAGCATAATGGAAAAAAACGCTTAACAGTAGTTTTGATATTACTACATTCATTCCTAAACTTTCATGCTAAGTGTTCAAAAAAGGACTCCTCAGAGTCAGCTGCCCACTGGTCTGGCTGTGACTTGGGACACCTCAGAAATTAGTTCCTGTCACTCCTCTGCCTCCACTGTCCTGGAGTCAAACCAACTGACCAGATGAAAAAGCCAACACTCAGACATTCCCATGTGCTACAAACTTTCATACCCAAAGGAGAATTTCATTATCCTGACTTCATTTGGGGGTGGGGGCGCACTGGGTGAACAAAAGTATAATCAAGAGAATAAGGAAGAGTTCGGGGACCCAGCGAACAATATGCTGGTCAGTAAATGTTGGTAGCTGGAGCCTCCCTGGAGGTGTGAGTCACAGAGATTGAAGGAGTCTGAGGAAGAAGGAAAATCTATGTCAGCCCAAGTATAGAGATCCTACTAACGAGAGAGGAGTCTGTTGTTTCAAACAGCAACAGAAGTCCCAGAAATACCAAATACACCCAGGACAGGGAAAGAGGAAAGTGTCTCAGGAGACAAAGGATCAGATGAAGAAAACAGATTCTGTCTGCCTAACCCCATGCTCCATCTGGGACCATATCAACCACAACTGCTGATAACACATGGCAGCTGGGTACCAGGAGTATCATATCCCTGATGCTGCCAGTTGTCTCACCAACCTAGGTGCCAGTGTGCTCACTGGCTCGGGAGTAAGTGGAGGGGGAAAAAAAACCAAAACCTTAATGGGGAACAGAGAAGAGAAGCAAACAGTCTCAAAAGAAAGCAAAGGCGACAGGATGGCACTGAGCGGGCACATCTGTCCTGACTGTGGGAAGTCCTGTTTGGGCCTTCCTGGCCCCTACCTTTGTTTCTCAAACTGTCTGCTGAGAGACGGATCCAGAACTACAACTGCCAGGGTCTGGCTTGTTGGCTCTTGATGAAGAGAAACATTGGCACTGATGTTAGACCCCTTTTTATTACCTTTATCTACTGACTGCTAGAGCCTGTGCAGAAGCTAAGGCAAGGCCTCCAGCTTAGCCTCCCTTCTCACTAGTTTCCCAGATGGGTCTGCTAGCACTATTCAGTTCAGACATCAAACAGGAAATAAATAAACCCAAAGATATAAAGATTGCTAAAGGCTAATAAGAGGGCAGATGCAAATCAAGAAGGCACAACTGGAACAAAATCCACCACATGCATATTCTACTCTCCCCCAACACCTCACCTGCCTCCCCTTAATTGAATTCTCTTGTTCACCTCATTCCAATCATCATGTCCAAAGGCTCACCATGGCTCTAACCCTGCCTAGCATCACTGAGAGAAACCTCGGCTCATGCTTGCCGAAAGCTGGTTTCTAGTGTGTTTAAGACAGTTTCTACTCCCACCTTCTCCACTGTCCCCACTTCCATCTCCACGCCCATGAAAATGCAGGCACAAGTGTATCTCCATTCATCCTGAGGTTTCTGCTCCAGAGATAGAATTAACTCCAATTAAACTCAGAAAATATTCCCCTTGGGGCCTCCGTGGTGGCACAAAGGATTAAGCGTCAGCACTATGAAGCTATTGGCAGGCACTACAGCACGAGTTCAATCCCTGGCCACGGAGCTACCCACATGGCGCAGCAGACCTCTCCTGTCTTGCCCACTGTTTGCCTCAGCAGTGTATTTCAGTCAATCCCCCTGTTCTGTTCCCCACTCTGTCTCTGATGAATCCTCTCATGCCCCACACCTCTGGCCTGCCCACTCACCCTCAATCCTACTCCGGCTAGTTTCAGATCAGTGCAAACACATAGGGTTGCCATGCCCATAAATCCTTCCTTGAGGTTAATACAAGCAGTTATACTAGGGGACCACAGACATTCTGTCCTAGTCCCTGGGAATGATTTTCCTTTGGATATCCTTGAACAAACAACATCACTGACCCCCAGTTATCTTATAGGTCAACTGGGAGAGGTTTTTGGTGGGGTGAGGACAAAGTCACTTTTTTCAGAGGATTAAATGAGATTCTGTCTGGATAAAGTTTAACACAAATGCTGAGCATAGACCATGTTTGCTTTCTTCCACACTTTCCGTCTTCAGGTAACAGTCAGGTAATAGTCACCCAAGTTCTTCTCCGTTACTGTCACACAGTTATGCCAAATACGATACATGAACTTCTAAACCATTATGCCAACACGAAGGCTTAAAGGACAAAGAATTGCTAGAAAGGGAAATCTGGAGTAGTAAAAGGCAAAACTTTGCTCCTTTATTATACAATGGAGCATCTTGCCTAGTCCTTCACCTGGAAGAAGAAACCCATTTTGCAGGGGGTTGAGCGCAGCAATGGGGCTGTCCACGTGCGAGTTCGATCCCCAGCTGCCTAGGGAGCAACCCACATGGCGCAGCAGACCTCTCCTGTCTCGCCCGCTGCTCCCCTCAGCAGTGTATTTCAGTACATCTGCCTGATTTGCTCCCCGCTCCCCACAACCATGACTCTGACCTGTACCCCACTTCTTAAAATAAATAAACCATTATACACACACAAGACTCTTCTATCTGTGAAGGAGCCCACACTAGTTTTCATAAGGAATTCCCGTGAAGTGACTCCAGTGTACTCCAGTATTCTGAATCATGATGTTATCCTGCATCAATCATCTAACAATAAGTTGTCTAAATTAAATCCCACTATTGGGCCTCCCTGGTGGTGCAAGGGGTTAAGTAAGCACTGCACCATGAAGCAATCCACAGCCTTTGCAGCACAAGTTTGATCCCCAGCCCGCCAGGGAGAAACCCACATGGAGAAGCAGACCTCTCCTGTCTCGCCAGCTGCTCCCCTCAGCAGTGTATTTCATCAGTCTGCCTGTTCTGTTCCACACTCTGTCTCTGGTGGATCCTCTCACTCCCCGCATCTCTGGCCTGTACCCCAGCTCTTGTATGGATAAATAAATAAATCTTTAAAAAAAAAATCCCACTATTATTTCAATTCACCTTCAGTGACAGCACCTGCAAACTCCAAGTCTTTTGGCTAAGAACTCTCAAGCACTTGGTTATAGTTGAGTTCTTCTCTTTCCTGGATTAAATCCCAACTCTTTTAGCCTTGACTTATAAATCTAAAATTTAAAATTCTTTTAATGCACTTTCACTCTCATAACGGACCTGCCTTTTCTTGCCAACTGGCTTCACAATCTAAAGATAGACAAAGAATTTTACTCAGAGAATGACCAATTCACTGAGAGTAAAAAGGGAGCTGTCGCTATATTTGTAGAACAAGGGAATCCAGCACTGGTCAGAGTCTGATATCCCAGTTAAATCCCAGTTCCACCAGACTCCAGGGTTTGTAGGTCCAGGGCAGGTGTCTTACCTTCTGGGCTTGGGCAGGGTCAGTGAGGACAAGGGTGAAGAGACCAAGGCAAATTTCCTCATGCTGAGGGGGACCTTTGCATACCTAGGATATGAGGAAGGAAAAAACTAGTCACTCACAGAAGGAAATTGCTTGAGAACAGTTTCTCCCAAATAACCTGGGACTCCTGACTCTTAAATCTGTTGATTTCCTTTGCCTGCAAGTGATGGGGCATCAGTTTTCAGAGAAAGATGGAGGGAAAGGACAGAGTTCTACTACTGCATTCTCTATCGCTGGATGAAGGCCAGGGCAGAAAATAAAATGTACTAAAAATGGGGAAAAAATCCTACTCCACCACCTTCATCAGACCTTAAAAACTTTCAGCTGAGAGGGAGCTGCAACTAGTCAGCCATGTAGTAACAAGCACACCTACCAAGCAGAAACCTTGAGCAAATCACTGACTCGCTGACATCTGTAAGGTGAAGACATAATATACGTATACTAAATAGTCAATACTTACTGAAGATTCACTGAGCATCATGTACCAGGAAAGGTAAGACATATTTAAAGTCCTTTCAACCTCACAGATTGATTAGAAAAAGGAAAGATCAAGAAGAGATCTTTCTTCTTCTCTTTGAGAAGAATTTTTAAAAGAAAAAGTCACTATGAATTATTTATAAGAAATAGTTATTTGAAGGGGAGAGGGGAAGAGGGATTAGGGTCAAAATAAGGGGGGGTGGGAACTGTATGAGGAATAGAACCAAAATTAAAATGCATACATTGTGCAAAAATGAAAAATGATATAAAAAATATATAAAATAAAATAAAGTCATTTAAAAACATTCTAAGAGATGGTCTTCCACACTAACAGAGGAGCCAGGAAGCCTGGTTCAGGGCAAAAAGACATCAACTTCAGTCTCCTAATTGCGTCACTTAAGCATTTTACCTTTTTGATGACATCTCAGAGCTTTCAAAGAAGCAGAAATGGATATGGGAAAAGCATTATACTCACGTAGGCATTGAGGGCATCATTGGCCTCTCTCTCAGAGACCCCAGAAGTCATGGCTGTCACAATGCTCATGCATCTTTCCAACCTCTGTAAAGGGGTGAGGAAAAAAAAAATAATCAAGAGTGTGGCACACCACCACTCATGTAGTACTCCTGGCCCCCAAAAGTTTTTTAAAAATTTTAAATCTCATCATATCTCTAGAACTAATTTCCAGTTTACAAGTCAAGTCATGATGGGGATATAGTTAGTGAAATACAGAATACAGGGCCTCCCTGGTGACGTAGAGGTGAACTCAGTGATATAAGCCCATGACTTGAGTTGGCTCCCTAGCCAGGGAGCTAACCCACAGCAGACCTCTCCTGTCTCACCAGCTGCTCCCCTCAGCAGTGTATTTCAGTAGAGCCGCCTGTCCTACTCCCCACTCTGTCCCTGGTGAATCCTCTTACTCTTGCACCTCTGGCCTATACCCTGGTAGTTCTATGCATAAATAAATAAATCTTAAAAAAATAATACAGAAACCATGAGAAGTAACCTGTTTTAACACATAAATTATAAGGAAAAAAATGTACGGTGAGACTTCATATTACAACTCATTGAATAAAATAAGAATCCGTGAGTTCATGCTTATAGATAGGCAAATAATAAGTAAAGCTCTTCCTTATAGTGAATTCAGAAGGCATAACAGAATAACTGATGCAGGCAAATATCAACAGATGCTGAAACCACAGGTGAAACTTTCAAAGGAAAGAGGGTATTTATATAGATCAAAATACTTACTAATTACCAAAAAAAAAAAACCCACAAAAAAACCCCACCATATTATAGTAGGAAACCCTGGAGTATACCACGTTAACCAAGTGATCAAAGTTAATATCCCTGATGAGACAAACTGACACCTAACACTATGTGTATGTGATATGATGCACTGATAAGGCTGTATCACTTGGGCCTCCCTGGTGGTGCGAGGGGTTAAGCACTGCACTATGAAGCAATCCGCAGCCTCTGCAGCGTGAGTTTGATCCCTGGCCAGCAGACCTCTCCTGACTCGCCCACTGTTCCCCTCAGCAGTGTACTTTAGTCAGTCTGCCTGTTCCGTTCCCCACTCTGTCTCTGGTGAATCCTCTCACACACCCCCCCATCTCTGGTCTGTACCCCAGCTCTTGTATGCATAAATAAATAAATCTTTTTTAAAAAAAAGAGAGAGAAAGACTAAGAATCTCTTTCAGTTGAAGAATTAAAGAGACAGTACAGCTAAAGGCAATGTGTGATCCTGGACTGCTGGTAAAATTGGGACTGCTGGTAAAATCTGAATATGTACTACACATTGGATAACAGTAACATATAATGTTAAGTGTCCCAATCTTGATAACAGGACAGTGGTTATGTAGTAACAGAAGATCCTTATTCTTATGAAATACACACTGAATTATTTAAATAGTATTTAAGTGGTGTCTTGGTTACAACTTATTCTCACAAGGTTACAAAAAGATATGTAGTGATAATGATAATATAAATGCTGTAATTGGTGAATCTGGCTGAAGAATATATGAGAATTCTATGTATTATAATTTTTCTATTATTTTTAAAATAAAATGTTATAATCAAGAGAAATTTGGATACTTAATATTTTATTATATTAAGAAATTGTTGTGCCTCCCTGGCAGTGCCAGGGATTAAGACGCAACCTATGAAGCTGTCCACAGCCATTTCAGCACGAGTTCGATCCCTGGCCAAGAAGCTACCCACATGGCACAGCAGACCTCTTCTAACTCGCCCGCTGCTCCCCTCAGCAGTTTTTTTCAGTCAATCTGCCTATTCTGTTCCCCACTCTGTCTCTGGTGAATCCTCTCACCCCCAGCACCTCTGGCCTGTACCCCAGTTTTTGTATGCATAAATAGATAAATCTTTAAAAAAAAACTGTTGTTAGTATTTTTAGGAATGGTATTGTGGCTACGTTAAAAAAAAAAGTCCTCTCATGGACATACATATGAAGTATCTACAAATGAAATGGCATTTCTTGGATTTGTTTCAAAATAATCCAGTCTAGAGAAAGAGAAAATAAGACTGACATGTACTAATAAATACTGAGGCAGAGTGATTGCTGCCTGGGAATGATACTATTCTGTCTACTTTTTTTGTTGAAATATCTTCATTTCAACAAAGAAATTGAAAGCCATCTTTGAAAAATGAGAGTGAGGGCCTCCCTGGTGGCGCAGCGGTTGAGGGCTGGGTTGCAAAGCTGCCTGCAGCCTCTGCAGTGCTGGTTCGATCCCCGGCCCCCAAGCAAGGGTCCCATATGGCACGCAGACCTCTCCTGCCGCCCGCTGCTCCCCTGTGTATTTCGTCGGTCTGCCTGCTCTGCTCTCCCCTCTGGCTCTGGTGAATTCTCTCACCCTCCCGCGCTTCTGACTGTACCCAGTGCTTGTATAAATAAATAAATCTAAATTTAAAAAAATAAATTATTAAGAAAATAAAAATTAAAAAAAAAAAAGAAAAATGAGAGTGAAAGGAACAGACTAATGGAGAACAAAAGGCCAAATTTAAACCTGTCAGGGTCTCTAGGTCAAACAACGGTGGAAGCAGTTCCATGCCCTGTCCAAAGCCACGGCTAGTTTCAAAGGCCTGCTCTAGCACAACATGTGCTCAACATTGCAAGGTGAGCTTGATCACTGACTCCTGTTCTAAAGCATTTAATGCTAAATATTCAGAAAACATTTATAAAATGTATCTCATATTAAGTAGGTGAGCCTCTCCATTACTACCACCCAAATTCCTTCCTGAACCTTTTGAAACTTTATCTTGAGGATTGGATTAACACAAAAACCGTTTTAAGGCCTCCCAGGTGGCGCACAGGTTGAGTGCAGCACTGTGAAGCTGTCTGCAGCCTCTGCAGAGCCGGTTCAATCCCTGGCCGGCCAGAGAGATACCCACATGGCACGGCAGTCCTCTCCTGTCTCTCCTGCCACTCCCCTCAGCAGTGTTTTCCATCTGTCTGCCTATTCTGCGCCTGGTCTCCCTGTTCTGCTCCCTGCTCTGTCTCTGGTAAATCCTCTTACCCTCCCATACCTCCGGCCTGTACCCCAGTTCTTGTATAAATAAATAAATCTTTAAAAAAAAAAAGTTTTAGGAACACTACTTCCCAATTCTCAGGGATGAGGAAGCTGGCAAACGAGGGACAAAGGCAGGCAATTTACTTCCAATTGATCCTTGACGCCTTCCTAAAATACCTTTCTGAGAATAAGTTCTTCTGCAGGAATTTTGAGAAAGTGACAAATAATACCTAAGGATGGTGGGAAAGAGGTCTAGGAGTGAAAGACTATCATGTCTCCTCTGGCCCTCACCCGAGGCTGCCTTTATCCATCCTTATCTAAGAGCAAAAGGTAGAACTGAGTGTTAAGGCAAGGCGCTCCCATAGCCACATTTCAAGCTAAAATAGGCCCAAACCCCTTGTGTTTGAAGATTTTACAACTTCGCCACCCAACATGAGGTCTGACTACCCCCCAAATCAGGTCAGATCAGCCCGCTCAGCCTTAATTAACAGCACCTTCATACTTGTGAAACGGAGCTGTGAGATCACATGAAAGCTGAGCTGAGACTCTCATGACCCACTTCTCCCACAAGCTCTGGGATCCTTCATTACCCAGCCCAGCTCCTATGAGACAGAGGAAAGAAGGAAAACCTCAGGTTGGATTTTCTCTTTATAAATGTATCCCTCTCCACCTGAGATAGTTATCAATTACTGGAGGATCTGTTCCTAGCAGCAGCTAGGTCCAGAATATTCTGGGAGCTCTGGGGGTACCTGTTTACCTGGCCTAAGTTACCAAGCAGTGTCAGTGGAGGAAGATGGTGAATAAGCAGCAGCACTGCATCCTAAAATTCTGTCTATTGTTTTCTATTGAAAGGAAGTATGACTTTGCTAAATCAACAGAGTTGCAAGAGAAGTCAAACAGCAGTTAGCTAATGAGCAACTGACAAGCACAGCAGAGAAGGAACCTACTACCTCAGGCTAATCTTGGGCAAGTTACCTAGTCTCTCTAAAAGTGGATTTTCTTTTGTGAAAAAGAGATAAAGTCTACATGACAAGATTGCTCTGAGGATTAAAGATAACATAATGTGAAAGCACCAGGTATACAGCCTCAGTTGAATTAGAATCTATCCCATCTGTGAGGAAGCTCAGCACCTGCACAACTAAATCTATGAAGACCCCACCCTCAACAAACCCACCCTCCCACTATAGGACAAGGAGAAGTCCCAGACCAGCTGAAAAGCTTCCTCTACTACTTATCCTCTATAAACTTTTGCATTCTGAGAGAAGGGGAAGCGGTGGGGTGAGGCTTAACTGAGGGTCCCTGCACCAAGATCCTCTGCACAGTCCTATGGATACCCACCCGACAGACTGCCCCATCTCTGCTGCAATGTAACACCTTCGCTGGCAGTGGGTTTTCGAGGTCCCTCCTTGATATTCTAAGCCCCACTCAGAGGGCTGAGTCAATTCTATGGGTAACTGCCTATTCAAAAAGTGGCCTCCTTGAATAGAGAGGCCCAGCTAAGGATGTAAAAAAAATGGGAATGCCCAGAATTTGGATATGTTAATAAAAGTGATTAAGAAAGGTGAGGGCCAGGACTTTCCCGACAACATAAATATAAAAGATGCTGCTCTTTCTGAACTATAGAATTAGTTTTCCAAAGAGAGATGGGAGAACTAGTTACAAATGACTCAGAGTGGCAGAAGCACTACTTCCCCTCAGAGAGGGCCACAGGAGGCGAGATCCCTACAATCATGTAGCAGTACCCCCTTCTCCTAAACTCCAGAGGCCCTTAGTAAACACTGCAGTTGTCAACAATTGCTGGCAGAATGGTTTGTGTTCAGAGTAAGCCCTCCATAAGAACACCTCAGAGAGCTGAGTAAATATTTACCATCTCTGGGAGCTCCTGAATTCATTTTCCTAGTACTAAGACTACCTGACCATGGTTTCTATGACAGCAGCAGCAGTGGAGGAGTAGGAGGATGTGGGGGGCCTTCCAGTTGGGCAGTGTATATGCCTGAAGCGGAAGACTGAAGTCAGAGGGCTCCCTCTAACTCTAGGAAAATGGGATGGGGAGGTCCAAGGTAAAAAGTATCTACCACATACACACTGCTGCTTTATGGGAAGTGTCCCAGTTCTGGGTCTCCTGTGCCTCAGGTGTGGCAGTGGAAAGGATATATCACCAACTCTGGGTTGTAGTGACAGGGCAAGAGGAACGAGTGGGGGCAGTGAGAGCCAGCTCTCCCGTGTCTAAAGTCCCCATTCAGGTCCAGTTTGGATTGGCATCCAAACTGGTAGATTTCAAGGACTAAATGACAGTCTTCAGAAAAGACCTACAAAATCCCCAAGGACCCACATTACTGAGGAGTTAATGAACAAGGTGGGCTGAAAGTATTCTACAACCAAAAGTCACTTGTAAGGCCTTCCTCAGCGCTATCAAACTATCACCAGTCATTGATGCATTAGTTCCATCCCCAGACAGGAGGTGACCCACATGGCGCAGCAGACCTCTCCAATCTCACCTGCTGATCCTCTCAGCAGTATATTTCAGTAGATCTGCCTGTTCTACTCCCCACTCTGTCTCTGGTGAATCCTTTTGCCACTGCCCCTCACCCCCACACCTCTGGCCTACACCCCAGTTCTTGTATGCATAAATAAAATCTTTTGGGGGGCCTCCCCAGTGGCATAGCGGGTTGAATGCAGTGCTGTGGAGCTGTCTGCAGCCTCTGCAGCACCGGTTCAATTCCCAGCCAGCCAGGGAGAGTCCCACATGGAGTGGTAGACCTCTCCTGTCTCATCCGCTGCTACCCTCAACAGTGCTTTCAGTCCGTTTTCCTGTTCTGCTCCCGGCTGTCTCTGGTGAGTCCTCTCCCCTCCTGCACCTCTGGCCTGTACCCCACCTCTTATATAAATCTTTAAAAAATAATTTTTTTTTTTTAAAGTCACTTGTGTATGAAATGAGGATTTAAGTGGGCTGGCAGGGGAGGGAATGAAAGATGGTTCTATTCCAATCTCTGGAGATTCCACACAGACAGGATGTGAATTATTCCTGGGAGAATATGTACCTTTAACCAAATACAACCCTGAGACCTGTGCATAGCTTAAGAGGAAGTTCTGACATTTGGGTCAAAGGCACCAGCTTTCAGTCTAACTTCAAAGTGGACGAGGTCCTGCTCAGCAGGGGAATGACCAGGAGCTGTGAGACTAGGATCTACATGTTTTAAACGCCTCCCAGCTGGTACTATTTTTATCTCATTCCCCAAATGGGGACCAGGATGGGCAAGAAGAATTCCCTCTTCAAAGAGAGGAACAGGGCCAAGGAGAACAAATGCTGAGTCACAGTCTCTGCTGGGGATGCTCTTCACTGGGGTTTCTGAAGGACCTTTCCTCAGCAGGCCCAGCTGTAATGACCCCAGTGTCTTCACTGCCCTACCCAGTTTTTTTGTTTGTTTGTGAACTTTCCTTATGGGTGTATTAACTTAGTCTTTAGATGATAAGCTCTAGAAAGCAGGCCTTGAATCTCCCCCATCCTATTTTACTATCAGATTCAGCACACAGTTAAAGTCTATACGGTCAGGAAGCTATCTCTGTGTTCTTGAGCAACAGGTAGGTCTGTGTTGGAAAATAACCAAACCAGAGAAAGCAGAGATCAGTTAGTCAACACCAGGTTTCGATAACTTCTGTGTACAGAGATGTGTGGGGAGAGCCACACCGTGAAGCAGCCATTAAGTCTGGCCCTTAGAGACACTCTGGTCTAGTGGGGATAACAGAAGCACACACATGGGGTTAAAAACAGAATGACAAGGCTTGCTGGAAAATTCAAATGCAAAGGACAAAGGGCAGAGAGGACAGAGGAGAGCCAGAGACATGCTGGGAAACATCCACCCCATGAAGGATGTCAGGGGGGAGAAAAAGACCCTCCTCCCCCTTCTCCCTGGAAAAAGTTGAAAGTTCATTCTCAGTCCAAAAAGAAAAAAAGTGCTTCCTCTCTTTTGTGGTCCCTCCTGCCATATCATTTCGTTGACTAGCAAGAACGTCACTTGCTCAGAGGAACAGGATGCTATGCTACTCTGTGGTACAAATAAGAGCGGAGGCAGGATGACCCCTCAAGCAATCAGAGCAGGAAATAAACATTTTTTTCATCCAACCCTTGGGGTCTTTTCCCTTCCACCCAAATGGCATCTAAGGCAGTCAACTACCTTCTATAATTCTAGAGCTCCAGTGTCAGAACACAGAACTTGGCAAAGACTTTGATGACTGTGGCTATTTCTTAAAAAACTGTATGATTCAGGGCCTCTCTGGTGGCACAAGGGGTTAAGCAATGCACTATGAAGCAATCCACAGCCTTTGCAGCATGAGTTCGATTCCCGGCCCCCGGCCAGCCAGGGAGCTACCCACATGGCGCCGCAGACCTCTCCTGTCTTGCCCGCACTCCCCTCAGCAGTGTTTTCCATCTGTCTGCCTGTTCTGTTGCCCACTCTGTCTTCTGGTGAATCCCCTCACCACCACCACCACCACCACCACCCCACCCCAGGCCCCTCCCCCGCATCTCTGGCCTGTACCCCAGCTGTTGTATGCACAAATAAATCTTTAAAAAAAATTGTATGATTCAAAATACAAGGTAATCCTACAGTCATTTTGGTTTGGGGAATTATTTTTAGAAGCATTGTTTATGGTCCTAATTATATCTAGCTTAATAGATAAAAAACGGTAGCAGAAAAAAACTTTACTAAATGCACATAGAATTATGGGGAAGAGAAGCATGAAGCCAATCTATGAGTGGACATTTGATGAAAAAAAATCCATAAAGTTGCTATCCAGCCATCTCTTGATTCACAAAGTTCATTTTGCATGTGTTCTGCCATGTTTTGTCTGATTCAACTTTTTTTCCCCCAAATTTAACATGACTATCATCTATTTGCCTGCCTCTCTCTAGAATCTAGTATCAAGTTAGAAGGAGAAAAATGGCCAGTGAAGAGCCAGAACCTGCTCATTTACTCATCCGGTCCCTGGAATAACCACCAAGTTGAATTTATTAGGTCTTGCAAACATTATCAATCACGTCCCAGTTCTGGGTCTCCTGTGCCTCGGTGTGGCAGTGGAAAGGATATATGACCAACTCTGGGTTGTAGTGACAGGGCAAGAGGTACGAGTGGGGGCAGCGAGAGCCAACTCTCCCGTGTCTAAAGTCCCCATTCAGGTCCACCACATGGCCTCATGCATTCCACTCTGTGTATTCACTCTCATGTGTATGCTTTCTGGTTCTAAAGGAGAACCTCCTGGGCCCCATGTACCCCCTTACACCACTGCTATAGTTGGTGTTAACTATACACTTAAGACTTCAGTCATTTTTCTTTAAGTTTTCTGTAGTCTTCACTCATTCTAAACGCCCAATTAGCATCAAGGATGGCTGGGTCCACAAAAAGGCAACATTATTTAACAGGAGAGTCCAGGTCTGCTATGAATTTCCGAGGTTCCTATGAATTTCAGACACTTACATACACATACATTACTTCTATATGACCTAAAGTTTGAAAAAGTAAATATTAGTAACCACAGCCTGTGCGTGGGAAGTCAAAAATAAATTCGTCAGACCTGGATGCTGAATCCCTTTCTAGTCAACACCCCCCACCCGCTTTCATTCTAGAGACTGCAGTTGCTATGGCAACCTGTCCAGGAAGTTGTCCACACTTCTTCCTTCAGGAGCAGGAAGTCTGGAGCAGTGTTTGTGTGGCCTTAGAAAAAACTTGAAGGCCTCCTTCCCCGCCCCCACCCCGTATCCGTTCCAGTAGCCCTCCTCAACCCAGTTTCTTAACTCCCTTCCCCACCCCCCCACACCTACCTCCTCTAACTCATCCTTGGCATCCAAACTGGTTGAAAGTAGCAGCCTCCCCCCTCCTGGGGCTCCTGCTCCCGCTCCTCCTCCACCTCCCGCTGCTCCCGAAGCAGCTGCTGCTGCTGCCCCCTTTCCCTTCTGTAACTCCATAGCTGCAGCCAGGAGACGGGAAAAGGCCAGGGAGTGGATGGGTGGGAAGTCTTAGAAATGGGGAGCTCCGGGCTGCCACGGATGGGGGCAAGCGGGGTAAGAGGGGAAGGCAGGGAAGGGGGGAAGGGTTCCAGTCCTCTCCTCCACCCTCTAGAGAGGCCGCTCCCGTGCAGGAAGCGAAGGCGGAGGGCCCTGTGGGTCCTGCCTCTGGAGTGGCAGTGCTGAGAGAAAGCCGTTAGCTCCTAAGTCTGCTGGGGGTGAGGGTCTGTGCCCCTATGGGACAGGCAGAAGAGGCTTCCGCCCCTGAGGAAGTGGAAGGGGAGCCCTTTCTGCTTCTGACCCCAAGAGAAGCAGGGAAAACCCTAAGTTTCAGGCTCAGGAGCTGGGGGAAAGAGGAGCCCTGCCCCTGAAGTGGGAGGTGGAAGCCTTCCTGGCTGGTGCCCCAGGGCTGAGGAGCGAAGTTCCTTTGGATCCCGGCCCCAGGGGGTGAGGGTGAGGCAGTAAGCGCTATAGGAGGACAAGGAGGACCAGCTTCTCCCTACACCACACAGAGGCGGCCATGGTGGAAGGGCGGGGGGTGGGAAGGCTGAGGGCGATGGCGGGGGAGGGGGAGGAATCGTGGAGGCCCGCGCCGGAAGTGAGCAGTCGCGGTCCCCGGCCTCCGCCAATAGCGGCTTCCGCGGTGGCGCTGAGTCTCGGAGGAGTTGGCGGCCGACTGGCGACTGGCCTTTTTCCCGGCTGCCAATGGAATGGAGAGGTAGACAGACTCGTCTGATGGACAGGCAGAGCAGCCAATAGCAGCCCTCCTTTGCCTTCGGGGGTGGGACGGGACAACTTTCCCGGAGGTGGAAAGGGAGTGCGAGGTGATCAGGAAGAAGGGCGGCTGCGCCTGCGCCTGCGTGCACTGACGCGCATGCGCGGCGCCGGCCTCCGCCCTCTCCTCGCTCCCGGTGGAGCTGGGACGGCTGCAGGAATCGGCTATTATCCCGGCTAGATTTAGGAGACTTGAAGCCTATCCGCGAATTGACAGTGCAGACCGAGGGAGTGGAACCCTAATCCTTAAGCACTCCTAGAGCAAACTATGGTATGGAGCCATGTCCCAGAGCTGAGAGGGCATCACACAAGCAAGAATACCCTTTGGAGGGGAAAAAGTGCACAGGCCCACTTGTGCAAACCAAGTCATTAGAATCCTACTAGTGGCCGCAAAGATTTGCTAAAGGACGGGACCCTGAGACTCACTGTCACTAAAGTCCAACTCTCACCCATAATCCAGTGGGGCATACGCTGATCAGTTCTGCGAGGGCAGGGTGTCCCCAGTTGTATGTGAATCTACTTTTGCCGCCTGGTTCCACAACTGCCTCTCTATAGCATGTTCCATTTTTTCACGAGGACTTCAGGTTTGCCTTACACAGTCCCAAAGACATAAAACTTTTGCTGTACTTAATGCTTATTTTTTAAAAAATATTTATTTATGCATACAAGAGCTGGGATACAGGCCAGAGGTGGGGGGGGGCGGTGAGAGGATTCACCAGAGTGGGGAGCAGAACAGGCAGATTGACCCAGGTACACTGCTGAGGGGAGCAGCGGGCGAATCAGGAAGGTCTGCTGCGCCAGGTGGGTTGCTCCCTGGCTGGCCAGGAATCGAACTTGTGCTGCAGTGGCTGTGGATAGCTTCATAGGTTGCGTCTTAACCCTTGCGCCACCAGGGAGGCTCCTTAATACCTATTTTTAAAAGTCCATGTCCCAGCTTGTATTTCCAAAAAAATGGAGTGACAAGGGCTACCTGTTAGCTTTGAGAGAATTATGTGAAATAATGGGTGTGAAATCATGTTGTAGGGCCTCCTTGGTGGGCAGGAGTTAAAGACATAGCGCTATCAAGCTACCACCGGCCACTGGCCATTGCAGCACCAGTTTGAGTCCCCAGTTGAGTTCGATCCCCAGCAGGCCAGGGAGCAACTCACACGTGGTACAGCAGACCTCTCCTGTCTCACAAGCTGTTCCTCTCAGCGGTGTAAATCGTTGATCTGCCTGTTCTGTTTCCCACTCTCTTTCTGGTTAATCCTCTCACCTCTGCACCTCTGGCCTGTACCCCACTTCTTGCATGTATAAATAAATAAAAAAGAAATCATGTTGTAAAGTGGAAAATAATAAAGACCCTAGTTATTGTCATTCTACACATGATCCTATTTATGTCTACACTTGCAGTGGCTTAACATTTAACTATATATAAACTTTTTTTAATGCTGAGGTATGCTTTTGAGCATAGTTTGGAATCCCTCCAGGTGAAAAGCACTGCATTAGCCACTGAATAGAAACTCATTACAATAACATTATTTTGTGTCAGTAGAAACATGAAGATACATTAGATGGAAAAAGAAAAGTAAGGAGTAGAACACTATATATTTATACTTCTATTTGTGTGTTGAGCCTTTGAAAGTAGGTCATAGGGGAATACATAAATATATTTATATATATGGAGGCTGTCAGAAGCATAGCCAAAACTCCTGTAATTTGGTTGCTTCTGGGTAGGAGACTGGATGGCTGGGAGATGGGGTGGGAGAGAGATTCATATTTTACTATATATCCTTTGATGATTTTTTTAAATTAAGTACCTTGTTTTTATTTGGTTGTTTTAAAGATTTTATTTATTTACTTTTGCAGAGAAGAGCTGGGGTGTAGGCCAGAGGTGGGGGGCAGGAGAGAATTCACCAGAGACAGAGTGGGGAGCAGAACAGGCAGATTTCCTGAAATACACTGCCAAGGGGAGCAGCCGACAAGAAAGGAGAGGTCTGCTGCGCAATGTGGGTTGCTCCCGGGCCAGGATGGAACTCAACTGGTGGCGGTAGGCCATCCCTGTGATAGTGCTGAGACTTAATCCCTAGGCCACCAGGGACTCCCCTAAATTAAGTATCTTGTGTATGTAATGTTTCTTTAAAAATAACTGATTTGAGCCTCCCTGGTGGCACAAGGGGTTAACACACAACCTATGACACAACCTATGAAGCTATCCGCAACCACTGCAGCATGAGTTCCATCCCTGGGCAGGGAACTACCCACATGGTGCAGCAGACCTCTCCTGACTCACCCGCTGCTCCCCTCAGCAGTGTATTTCAGTCAGTCTGCCTGCTCTGCTCCCCACTGCGTCTCTGGAGAATCCTCTCACCCCACACTTCTGGCCTATACCCCAGTTCTTGTATGCATAAATAAATAAATCTTAAAAAAAAAAGGAAGAAGAGACACCTCCAGGGCCTCCCAAGTAACCTAAGGGTTGAATCTCAGTGCTATCACCTCTATGTAAGGCACAGCAGACCTCTCCTGTGTAGGCCGCTGCTCTCCTCAGCAGTATATTTCTGTTCTACTCCCTACTCTGTCTCTGGTGAATCCTCTCACCCCCGCACCTCTGGCCTACACCCCAGCTCTTATATGCATAAATAAATTAGGATTGAATTTATGCTGGTGATAGCTTGAGAGCACTGAGACTTTAACCCCTGCACTGCCAGGGAGCCACTAAATAAAATAAATCTTAAGAAAAAATGCTCAACATCATTAGTAATTAGAGAAATATAAATCAAATACATACTACAACATCAATGAACCTTGAAAACAATATACTAGGTAAAAGAACCCAGACACAAAAAAACAAATATTGGTCAAGGCGCGGCCTGGGGGAGGCTGTCGCGGTGAGCGCTGGCATGTCGGCTCTGACGCGGTAAACGCCCTTCGTTTGCGTTGGAGGCAGCCTCTTCAGAGGCCTCCACGCGCGAGAGGCTGGAGGCGGCGGAGTTCGTCATGCTGGCGGCGGTGTGCACCACGAGCCCAGGTACAGACAGTTTCCCCAGCTGACCAGGTTTCAGGTGATCCAGGCCGAATTCTTCAGTGCAACCATGTGGTTCTGGATTCTCTGGCGCTTTTGGCACGACTCAGATGCTGTGCTGGGTCATTTTTCCTATCCAGATCCTTCTCAATGGACAGATGAAGAATTAGGTATCCTTCCTGATGAAGAAGACTAAAGGTGTCGATTCAGCTCTTTACAAGAGCCAGGTGAGAAACTGAAGAAATATGGACTTCATATTGTACATTAAAGATGCAAATTAAAGTGGTTTGGTCAAGAATGAAAAAACAAAACAAAACAAATATTGTATGATCCATTAATGTGAAGTATAGAAAATAGACAAATTCATAGAAATAGAAAGTTAGAGATTACCCTGGGCTAAGGGAGGTTGGGATGTTTAAAAGTCATAGAGTTTCGGGCCTCCCCGGTGGCGCAGTGGTTGAGCGCTGGGTTGCAAAGCTGCCCGCGGCCTCTGCGGCGCCAGTTCCATCCCCGGCTGCTCCCCGGCCACCAGAGGAGGGTCCCACATGGCGCGCAGACCTCTCCTGCCGCCCGCTGCTCCCCTCAGCAGTGTACTTCGGTCCTTCTGCCTGCTCTGCTCCCCGCTCTGGCTCTGGTGAATTCTCTCACCCTCCCGCGCTTCTGACTGTACCCAGTGCATGTATAAACAAAACAAACAAACAAACAAATAAATAAAACATGCCTCTATTTAAAAAAAAAAAAAGTCATGGAGTTTCTATTTGAGGTGATGAAATAATGGTGATGGTTGCACAACATTGTGAATGTAATTAATGCAACTGACTTATATACTTAAAAATGGTTAAAATATAAATTTTGTGTTTGTATGTATGTTATTGTGGTAAAAAAATAATTTAAAAAATTACAGTGATTGAACATAATAATATTGTACTGTAAGTATGCAATGTCATAAACATTATAGTGGCAACCACCTTACAATGTACATAACTAAGTAACATGCTGTAACCCTTAAATTTACCCACTATGACATTTTATTTATTTATTTATTTTTTAAGATTTTGTTTATTTATGCATACAAGCTCTGGGATACAGGCCAGAGGTGCAGGGGATGAGAGTATCACTAGAGACAGAGTGGGGAGCAGAACAGGCAGATGTACTGAAATACACTGCTGAGGGGAGCAGCAGGTGAGACAGGAGAGGTCTGCTGTGCCATGTGGGTTGCTCCCTGGCCGGCCAGGGATCAAACTCACGCTGCAGAGGCTGTGGATTGCTTCATAGTGCTATGCTTAACCCCTTGTGCCACCAAGGAAGCCTTACCTACTATGACATTTTAAATTTATACAATGAAAAATCACCATTTAAAAAAAAAAAGATGTATTTATTTATTATTACAAGAACTGGGACACAGGCCAGAGGAGTGAGGGGGTGAGAGGATTCACCAGAGACAGAGTGGGGAACAGAACAGGCAGATTGACTGAAATACACTGCTGAGGGGAGCAGCAAGCGAGTCAGGAGAGTCTGCTGCGCCATGTGGGCAGCTCCCTGGCCAGGGATCAAACTTGCACTCTAGTGGCTGCAGATAGCTTCATAGGTTACGTCTTAACTCTTGTGCCACGAGGGACGCCCGAAAAATCACCAGTTGACAAAGATTAGAGTAAAAGTGACTCAAGCAAGAATCAAATAAACCCATATTGGGCCTCCCTGGTGGCGGAAGCTGTTAATTCTCAGCACTATGAAGTTATCAGCATCTACTACAACACAAGTTCCATCCCCAGCCTGTGAGGTGACCCATTTGGCACAGCAGACCTC